CCCGGGCGAGCACCTTTAAATTGCGCGGACCCACCCAAGGAATTCCTGCGAGTTCTCTCGAAAGACCGGGGACGCTCCCAAAAGGAGCCGTCCGAGAGCGGCTCTCGCGGGCATAAACTCGTGCCGAGGACGAAACGACGCGAAGAAAGAAAACACCGGTCTCGTGTTTACGGCCCGTCGAGCGTTTCACCCCGCGATAACGAGCGCCGTTTGCGGTCACTTCCGCGGCATCCCCGGCATCCCCGGCATCCCCGGCATCCCCGGCTCGATAAAAGGGTGATTCGGGGGTGGGAGAATAAGCGTCCTCGAGTCCGAAGAAGGGTGCCCCTAACCTCGGGGGAGGGAGGCACTACCTAGAGGGGCTCACCTGGACTGACGAGGACGAGGAGGAGCGCCGCGGCGACGGCGGCTCTGGCGAAGGGCCGGGCCTCGATGCAGCGGCAGAGGCAGCGCCGGCGGCGGCGTCGACGGCGGCCGACCTGGGGACCGACCTCGGGGCCGACCTGGGGGCCGACCTGGGGGCCGGCGCGGCCGCGGAGCCTCATGGCGGAGCCTGGCCCGGTCAGCGGCTCCGGTCGCCCTCGCCGGCGTCCTCGGCCGCGGGCCGAGGCGACTCGCCGCGGGCCATCTCCCCGCACCACTAACCGCACTGCGCCCGGAACGGCTCTAACCACATCCCCCCGTCCTCCTCTCGATCGCCCTCTCTCTCGGGACTCCGAAGGACCATCGGCAGCCGGCACGGGCGCCGCACCGGGGAGAGAGCTCGTCGAAGACTGCCGCCGACTGCCGCCGCTCCGACCGACGCGCCGCGGCGACGCCGGCGACGCCGGCCGCCGAGCGCCGAGCGCAGCGCCCCCGCCGACGGCCGCGACGTCGCGATTCCCCACGATTCCCCACGATTCCCCACGATTCCCCACGATCCCGTCGTTCCGGCGAATCGACCGACCGCCCAAAGCCTTTCGCTACCTCCCTTCGCTGCCTCGGATGCTCCGAGGAGCCTCCGAGGAGCCTCCTCTTACGTAAACGAGCCGCTCCCCGACGCGACGTATCCGGGACTTCCGAAAGAAACGGACCACCTGGCGGACCCCCTGTGCCCTCCAGGTGCGACCTCCGCGGCCGAGGAGTGGCCGATTTCTTGGACATTGGAGCGAATTTCTATGACCGTGCCATGACGATCGCCGTTTCGGGGAGTCCTCGATAACACCTGGCGATATCGACGGAAGGGCACGGGAAGAAAGAGAGGGCCCATCTCCCTTTCAGGGCGCCCTTTAAATCCCTCCGAGGGTGCGAGCCACCCTGCGGGACTTTTAAAGACTCGGTGATAAATTCCAGCCTACAAATGGGTCGAACGTCGACGCGTCGAAACGACCTCCGAAACGGTGGCCTGCCCCGTTTTTCCCGGGGTTGCGGCCCCTCTTCGCCAATCTGCGAGTCCATCGAGCGTTTCGAAAGCGGCCCCGGGCCGTCGGGGACGTTTCGCCCGGGATCGATCCCCGGACTCCGGGAAAATTCGATTCGTTATTAATCAATTTCGCGACACCTGCGCGATCCTCCGGCTTATCGGAACGGCGGGGATCGATTTCCCCCGGCAATTCTGCGATCCGAAAATTCCCGCGGGGAACGGACACGGTCTCGGGACCGGTATCGACCCGGCCCATTTTGCCCCCGGGTCCGGTCGCGCCCCGACTTTGTCCTTTGATCGCGAAGAGCGAACGGGAGGCGTCGGTTTGGTCGAGACCGTGATTCGGTGACACATAAATGGCGTTCGAATCGTTTGAAAATTTTCCACTGGAATACCCGGGTCCCACCTTGAGAAAAAAATTCAATGAGGCAAAGAATCAGGAGATCGATCATATGACTGGAATAAACCGAAACATATTGGATGCGACGTTCCTTCGAAATTATGACGATTCATTTGAGCCTATTTAAGTGAAACAATCGTTCATTGAATCGGGAAAATCTTTCTTTGGTCGAGCGATGCTTCTCAGGGGACGGAGAACGGAAGTGTCCGGAGAGGGTCGAGCCATCGGAGGAAGAAACGGCGGTCGACACCCCCGGAGGTCCGACCTGCTCGGCACCGGCGTCGACTCGTGGCGTGACGAGGACGCGTGAAAAAGCGAGAGTCCAGAGGGAGGACTAAAAATACCCGAGACGGATATCCATCCACGGGTTATAGCGGTGCCAACGCCGACGAGGCCGGCCCCGTATCGACCTGTGTACCGACAGGAAGGGATGGCCAGCAACGAGGAATTCCAGCAACGGGCGCCGTCGCGACGGATTCCAAGGGACGCGACCGATCCAGCGATGCCGGCTATTTCGGGCTCGTCAAGCCGCGAATTCGCACCTAAGCCCTCCAGGCTCGGCCTCTCGTCTCTCGTCTCTCGCCGGCACCCCCTTTGCTCCTTTTTCCCCCCTTTGATCGTCTTTGGACCTCCGAGGCGGGCGCCTTCCTTTTCTCCTCCGCTCCGCGACAATAATTATAGAGCCCGCGAGCGGTTTATCGAGTCAATTGCCGATCGATCGATTTGTAAGATTTGGTCCTCCCGATGTCGACTTCGGCGATTTCCGGCTCGCGTCCCCGACGTTAACGCGACTTTAACGTACCCCCAAATTCGGCCCTCCTCCGCCGAGAAAAAAAATTCATCAAACCGTTTCCTCATTAATCGTCTCAACGAGGAACGTTCGTGAAAAGTGGCGGGTCGTCATCAGAGATCCGAGAATTCGCGATCGAGGCAGGCTTGGCCCTCGATTGGTCGTTTCACGTCGGCCACTGCGGTCGTCGCATTACGACAAATTTTCTGCAACCGGGAGAATTTTGGAATCGGCTCGTGCCGCGGTATCCAGGTCATCGAACCGAGTTCCCGTAATCCGAAATGCATTTTAACGTGCTACTGGTAATTAATCGGGACTCGGAGCCCTTCCGGTCGCGCGGGGACGTTCGATATCCTCCCTATCGAGGGGAACATTTCGTTAGAAAATTGTAGAAAATCTTGCGTCGATGCCCAAATATCGTACACATGCCACGAGTACTCGCGACGATAATAAGAAGCGGATTGACGATGAAATTTCGAAAAAAAAAAATAAATAAAAAAATACAGCGACGAAGCGATCCACCCTGCAGCGCATATATAAGGGGTCCGCGGTCCCGGAGAGGTCAGTCGGAGACGGGGCCTCGTCCGGTCGCGATCGCGGCCGGCGACTCCCCGGGGCGCCGCGACGTCCGCGACCGTGGACGTCGCGGCGCTGCGCCTCCCGGCAAGTGGGACGACCAGAAGGGCTTTAGACATCGTTCGGTGACAACGGCAAAACTCGAAACGACATCAGCTCGGACTTGGCTTCCGGCCATTTCCCAGCTATTGATCCACGAGGCGTTACGTCGCGAGCTACCCCGCGTGTAATTATAGGTGTATCGTGTGCGCGCTGCCCGTCCCCGAGACTCCTCTTCCCTTTGCTTTTTTACGGTTGGTCGCCGCCGGAAGTCGGCGGGATAACGCGGTAAACGTCAACGGGGTAAAAGTCGAGGATGCAGGTCGACGCCTCGACGACCTTTATCTCCTTTCCGGGAAATTCAAGACCTACGTGAAAATTAATTTTTCCGACGTTTTCGAGTCGTCCGGTTCTCCCCATGGGCGTTTACCCCGACGACGTAGGGGTTTATTTTCCATCGAATCGCAATGATGGGGTAAGAACGTTACTTTGGGCGCTCAAGGGAGCATCGTCCAAAACGGTTCGGGAGGAGTCGATCTCGAGGACGAGTCCAGGTGCAAGAAACGTCGTTTTTCTCCATTTTGCCGGCGGCTATCGAATGCCCGCTCCAAAGCTACCCTCCCGTTTGTCCGATACGGCAAACGTACGTCGCGATAAGTCTGCCCGAGGAGAATGGAGAAAGATCCGCCCTGCATAAAGTAGAACGCGGACGGAGGTGCACTCGACCCCGAGGAATTCAGCAGCGTGTTCGTTTCGCGACGTCAAGCTGTCCGCTGCACTCTCCCCCTATGAAGAAAAATCCGAGAGACCGTCCAGAAGATTTACCAGGACGACTCGTCCATTGTCCCAGGCCAAATGCTTCGTCCTCCGTTTCCTCGACTCTTCCCTTAGGCTTAAACATTTTACAATCATTTCTAGGACGACGATATCCAGAACGCATCGATGACGCGCAAGTCAGTTTTTATCTCGTTCGATGTGCCCCACTTGGCTCCGCGTTCGGACGTTAATGACCCTTGGGTACATACCCCATTGTACCTTTAATACCCCTCGTATATACGCGTTATTACCGCCACCGTATATTCGCGTATGCGTAGAATCGATAAAATGAAATTAGTCTCCGAACCTCGCTGATATCCTGTCGTTGCGCGCATATTCCGCGTTCTTTGTGGATATCGCGATATCTCGCTCGATCACGTCTGAGCCTTAAAGATCGGACGTTAAACGTCGCCGTAATTCGTCCGTGATCTCTTTCGATACGCGCAGGTGTCTCGCAACCTTCGATCCAAAGCTCCGCGAGGACGCAAGGTGCGGTTTGCATTTCAATGGAGAACTCGGATAGTACTTGTACCATGAATTCATGCCGCCGTCCAGCAATGAATGGTCGAGCCGAATGAGACCTTGCCGAGTGGCGTCCTGCCTTGCGTTGTTTCCCAAAGTTACGTGCTTAAAAGTCGTCCCCAATTCGGTACATACCTAGTTTTATAGTACCCAATGCGTCATGCACGCTTACATCTTTCATGTGGTCGGCGGTAACGTTCGAGACCTGCGGTGCGCTACTGCAGCCATCGTCGTCTCTAATTATTCTTTAACGGTAACTAGAATTTTTTTCACCTCGGAAGGTAATGGACATACAGGTGTATGAGAATTTGAACTCGATCGTCCGGCATGGTTTGTAATTATGGGAGAACTCAGAGGCACCGGGGCGAATAAACAGGGAGGAACCGGAGATACGAGGTAAAGCTTTCGCGAGAGCGATGAAGCGAGGATCACTGCAGTCGGTAGCAAGGATCAATACGTTACACCAACGCCCTTACTCGTACTATTTTATTACACTGCACCAGCAGTCATACCCTGGCGACGAGTGTGTACGTTGTGCGGTACATCGAACTCGATGGGAATTCTCACCGTTCTGGAAACACGCATGCGTACGTCCCCGCGAGTCGAAAAGCGGACCTTTCGGCCTAGCGGCTGTTCGAACAAGGAACGTACCATGGACCAGGCAAGAATACAAATACGAATCGTCTCGTCTAACTGGTGTAACGTGTAACGTATGTTCGTTCGACCATCTCCCCTCGTTGGTCAAAGTTTCCTAAATCGGAGATGTAGCATCGTTTGTAATGTCATTGGTTAAGTAGTAACTTTGAAAGCAATTTCTTTTCCATAAAGTTTCGTACAAAACTTATTATACAAAATGCCCGTTGAGAACAATTTGTTGCGTTTTGAGCACGGGTGATCATTCGGTTCCCATCGATTCTGCCACCCTTGGTCTTGGGAACGGAGAAAGATATTTCGGCAAGAAAAATATGCGAGTGTCGCTTCAGCGAATCCCTGTTTCTCCTAAATAATCGGACTTTCGATGCCATGTCCCTACTGACGTTCGCAAAACCGTGTCGACAGCCTTGCTACACGTCGGAACTGTTCAGGTTCGCACGACGTGCCGTACCTCCATTACGCGCCATCGGGGTCGGACGTTTACTCGAAGAAGTCGGCAACTTCCTCTAGTTCTCTATCACGAGCCTGCTGATGGGCCCATCGGTCTTCGGCAAGCTGGTCGCTCAAACCCCATTTTTCGTGGTAAACCCTTTGTCCGCATTTCGGACATTTCTTACCCCCTAAAGATTTGAGCAAGGTAAGATCTTGAAGAACGAAGAACAGGGAAGTAGAGACTCACCATGGAAGGGAGGAGTCTTCATGTACGTTACGAGACATTGCAAATGAAAAAGATGACCGCAGTAGAGTCTTTCGACGTGCAGATCTGCACCCTCCTCGGTTACGACTTCTTGTGGATTTGGAGGGAAACAAATACCATGACAAAATTGACAGATTTCTTTTGGCAAGTTTTTTACCAATCTGCGATCAAAAAAAAATTATTCAGAAAATAATGTAACGTTTCGAACCGATAATCCAGGAATACTTACTTTATGACAAACGATGCAACCACGTTCAGAGAAGGCGACGGTTGGAACACTGCCTGATTGGGCTTCTTTTTCAGTGGCGGTTCTATGCATCGACGACCTAATTCTTTGCCTTGAGCAACTAAATATCGAGCAAACAAAGGGGGAAAATTTGTCTCGGCATCCCCTATACTAAATTAAATAGTATTTAGTGTCGAAATCGTAGAGACGATACTTCGTATTTATTTATTCGTGTACTGTAATACCTTACTGCAGTATCGGGATAGTTATCCGGTATAGATAATTTAGCTTTAAAATAGTATCCTCCCTGATGTACTTTAATACCAATTGTCGATGCCTTCTGCTTTAATTTCAATTCGTCTTCTTTCCACAAGAGTTTTTTTATGGAAGCGATCTCATCGTAACAACAAATTAAAGCATTCTCATCGATAAAGCATCGGATGAACTTTAAAACAGGTAGCACCTTGCGCGTTAAAATGCAATGAAATAATTAAAAATTACAAAGCGATATTAAAGATGTGTACCATCAAATATCAAATAATTTTAACTACCTGGGCTTTACCCAAGAGATTCTTGCATTCTTTTTCACAAACGTTTGTTAATCCATCCAGTAATTTTGGAGAAAGAGTTTTACTCTTAAGTTCGATAAGAAGTGGCGTACTAGGGTAATTGTTTGGAAACTGAATACATACAACAATCTTCTTGAAAGATGTTTTCCTGAAAAAAATAAATATATAATGTATTTGATTTATATTATATGCATAACTTATTCAAAATTTATATCCTTACATTATTTCCACCCGAACCATGGTTTGTACGCAGGAAATAATTCTACTGCCTTTGACGACATTTTGACACAGTTTTGACACTTCTTGCAATTCATCGTCGATAAAGCCCATGGACTTCTTAGTTCAAATTACCTTGCTGACTTTAAGATCAACCAGTGGACAAAAAACTACAACTAGAAAAATAATTTCTTAACCAAATCATGAAAATACATCATATTTAGAAAGTTATATGTCAACGTTTTGCAAATATGAAACCTAACTTTGTACTTCAATTATATTCATGGATTTAATTCTGAGAATATGAAATACATTATTTCCTTTACCCTCATGAAGGTGAAATATAACAAATCCAGCCTCTTGCATCAACGAAAACGAGAATGTGAGGTTGCCACAATTCGTGAACACTCCAAAAATGAATAACTCTTTTGAGCGTTTTTAAATATAAACATAAATATCTAGAAACTATGCGTCAAACGCGGTTTTTTCTACGATGCTTTCATAAATATTTCATTGTAAAATACTTAACCACTCTCACGACGGAAGAGATCTCGCATTTTTAGGCATAAAGTATTAAATAAAATCTACGTGATGAGGTTATGTAGACACGACTTCACCGTTCAAATTTAAACCACTAGCATTTGCAATACTCCATTCTAGTACTCACCGGCAGTCGCTTTCTGCGTCTCCATAGACCAAAGAGATAATTGTAAACGTTCAAAACACTGTCAAAAAATCGAATATTGCACAATGAGACCGAACGGTAACTTGAACTGATCAAACTTCCGTCAACCACGTACTAGATGGCACCACCATCACTATTTATTCTCTTCCTTCCTACGTATAGCAAAACTTGTTGCGTAAAACTTAAACCAGGTATTAAAAACCATAAAGTATAAACCAATCTATTTTTCTGCAAATTACCACTCCTATGAAAATTGGCAATATTTTGGCAAAATAGATGTAATATTAATACTGTACACAGTACACTTTCATTTACAATTTAAACAGTGCATAAAAGCACAAAAAATATACATACACCCCTAAAACAACACATTGTAAGTAGCATGTGAAATAATTTGCATGGTATCCCATGTAGGCAAATATTCCGTAGCACATTGACGCTGCACCTTTCTTTAAACCTCTCATCCATCTTCTTCCAAGAACCGATTCGGATAAAATCTTAAAGCTTCTATAGAATCATCTCTGCATGCTTTCCCATATTTCTCTGTCACCGCTAACCTCTCCCGGGCCAATAGAATAGATATACCTGCTGACTGTGCAAGTTCTTCCGCTGTTATAGAACCTTTTTCTCTCAACTGCAACAATGTTATTAATTTATATCTCATAATAATCGGAGATTATTAAATTCATTTAAATGTATACATACCAATTCAGCTACAGACTCTATGACAACACTATCATCATGAGATCGTGCTTGCAAAACCATCACTCCACTATCAAATACTCTTAAAACTATTGGTAAATCTAAAGGTGCCAATTGTCTGCAGGCATTTAATAAATCCTCCGGTGACAAGAGCTCCATACCTCGTGCTCTATTTACTCTACAGTATACGTCCGTTAATGCCATTATACCTCCAATTTCCTAAAATAGAATAAAAATTATGTTACATAATTATAAATAAAAAATATTGGTGTACATTATATTATTTGAAACCATACTCTGATTGGATCTTCCAAGATTTTAGCAAGCTGTTTAGCCAACTGTCTAAAATATTCATTATTGCTTTTGTATGCATCTCTTGTTACAGGATCATCGATACCTAAACTCATCAGATAAGACTTAAATCTCACAGTTTCATCTTCTGTAATGTCACCTTGCTTTTCCTGCAATAAAATGTAATGGAATGAGTAAAATAATTTTACAAGATGGTAATCATATTTATCAAAGGATATTACTAACTCTTATTTTCAAAGAAATAGTCTTAGAAATGGAAACCATGTCCTTCGCCATTTCCATAAGTTTTCTCAAATCTTGAAAAGCCATTGATATACTTTCGTCAGTTGCCTTTTGCTTTTCTTGGAGGCTTCGTTCAATTCCTATGATTCCTGTTCGAGTTTTAATTACTGGAAGTGGTTTTGAATTTCCAGGTTCATTTTGTGTACAGTTTGTGTTTGCGAGCAAGGGGACTCGTTCCCAAGCCTTGTTTGTCAAAGCATCGCTTAAATGTGTAAGAAACGGCGAGTTCAAACCTTCCTTGAACGACAACTTGATATAGTTATTTGAACTATAAGCAGCAGGTCCTGGCATTTTATCTAAGGAATGCATTCTCGTTAATCATTTGGTCAACCATTTAACAGTATCAACACATATCTTATTAAAACCTATTGGTTCAATGTTGAAATGTGTTCGTTTTAAAAATGTTAGCATGAATGCATCACCTAAAATATCATCTAAGAGATGCAATATCACTTTCTTGCTCCGACTAAAGGAAAACGGTCCAGGATTCTCTTCCTCAAAGAAAATAATGTATCGTAAAGGTAACGACAGGCACATGCGTCTTTGTGAAATGTCTTCTGGTCTTCCCCAGAGAAGCCTGTGGCTAGTCAAGATTACTTCTCCTCCCTCAAAAGTGGTCTATCAAAACAATGAGGTTATGCCACTGTCAAACCTTAAAGAGTTTCTACGTACCTTCATATCCCCATCGTATAATCGTACATTCCTTTCACGCGTTATATAAGTTTCAACTGATATTAGACGACTGTCAGCATACTCAAACCTATTCATTATTAAAATACGTCGAAACTATATTAAACAGTACTTGACATTTGTTAAAAATGAAGTAACATTGATGATACACGAGGAAGACACGAATGAAGGAGAACGATTGAGAAGAAAATTTGCTATATTACGTCGTCTGCTGCTGTCTAGCGGAATGTTTCGATAGCCAGTACACAAAGCGAGTGCGAGCGGGTACGAGTTTGTTCGAAAGATCAATTTCAAGGAAAGAACCTTTCTCGTCGGGTGAAGTGATGGCAGTACAGAAGACGATCGCGCGATCCTTCCACTGAGCAATCTCCCAACTCATCTCTGTTTCATGCTACTGCCGTAAACTGCTGCAAGCTACTGTAAGTAATGAAAAGCAGAACCATCTGGCGCTGAACCATGAAACCGTTAAAACAACATTGAACAACATGGCCGCCAGGAAGGCAGGTGAGCGCAGGGGAAAAGATAGTCTTCCAGGTGCGCGCAGCAACCTACAGCGTTGTGCGTGAGAACCGGTGGAAACACGTAACTGCACGTAGCATGATCGCACGTAAGCAGGTGTGCGCAGGTGCGCACAGGTATACACGTACCGCGCGAATCCGCGCCCGTGCGTCAAAGCACTCCGATACACACGAAGACGTAAACGAACGAGGACATGTACCCTGACTCGTGGTCATGAGATACTCTAGCGGTCAGCAGGTACGTCCATCAGGAAAATCGTGATAATAAGACGCGGCGACGATCGGTACGCGATAGTTCATCGTCTCCGAGTTAATATTTTCCGAGAGGGCTTCCAAAGTTAAGAAGGCGGGACTGAATGTTTCCCGTCCAACCTGCGAGACCCACCCTAATCGACGGCTTGACGGATTCATTTTAGATGGGCCTAACTGTCTGTTGCTAATAAATGTTCGCTATCGATTGTCATGAAACCTTTACTTTCCTCGATTTTCGTAACGCGTACATCGTTCGCTGCAGTATCTTGTTGCCATGGGCTATAGCGTTTCGATGGAGACGAAAAGAAATCATCGGATGATTTCCCTGGTTCATAAAGTAGACATGGATAACTGCTTGTCAAGTAGTTTGTTTACAAAACAGTTTCGAGATCCAAGACTTAAGTTATAGTTTGGGTAAACCATGTTTTAAATAAACCTTTCTCAATTGTAATAATAAATTGTAGTCGAGTATATCCCGAAGAAGATATTTTTTCTCTCGTACCGAAAGTCGTATGTAGGAACTCATTTTGTTCGAGTATATTTTTCTTGCATATCACCGAATTCTTTATTCTTAATAGAAATGAGTTCACCCACAACAGCGGCGACCCCTGAGTCGAGCGTCGCTGCCAAGACCAACGATTGGGTTAGATTTGAGGAAGAAAGTCCTCCGACGTCTCCTTCGCGAAATCCAGAAGGTTCCTCTGAAATAGATGGAACGCAAAGGAGCGCTCCCGCTATAATTCAGCCAGAGTCAGTTACCGTTAATGTAGATAAAATCACCAAGGTTGTCGAAAAGTCAGACAGTAAACATAAGAAGAGTAACGAGTATGATAGCGCTGCCACTGAATCCGTTCGAGTTGACCTGGACAAAGCAGTTTTAAATCGGTCGACTCTAAACGACAGTCCAGATTCTACTTTTCCTCCCGATCGTACAATTTCAAATCCAAAGAGTGCCTCTCTGAAAACAGTGGACCTTGGGGATGGATCCAATGGAAGAATGGCAATGACAAATATTATCGAGACCCCAATTGGAAATATTAGACGAGGTTTTGCTAATGGGGATACTATTGTCACTTTATTGCCAGTTAATACGAGGTGGCCATGGATCACGCCTGCGAAATTCAGACCAGAACTGGTTCCAGAAGAGCTCATGGCCCAAGGCCTAACCGTAAGTTAAATTGGCCCATCACGACGTCCAAATAATTAAGTTTCGTCTAAAATAATCTTAATTTTATCTTCATGCTTCAGCTGACCGTGGAAGATTATGTACACATAATGGAATTGTTGGTGAACGATGTGCGCTTCAACATGTACAATGTTTGCTACAAGCGGATTCTTGTTCTATGGATATTTACGGCTTTTGTCGTACTACTAGGTTTATTGTTCTCGGGGGTGACAGGCCTTACACTTTTTGGCCTTGGCATAATGTGGCTCGTTCTGAATGCTGCCGCAATATTTTTGTGTATGTTCGTCAAGATCAAGCTGAATCGCAATCTTGAGAAGTGTATGGCACAAGTCAATAAGCATTTACTTCGGCATAAAATCTTGCTGGGTCTGGACGACAGAGGAAAAATTTCCTGTCACAAAGTGAACCTATGCTTTATTTACTTTGACACTACCGATTGCATCGTAAGTTTCTTGTTCTCATAATGCGAGCAAATATGGTTTAAAGTTACCGTTAAAAAATTAATTATGTTCGTTTCAATCAGAAAAAGTTACAAGAAGTAATCGAACGAGAGGAACGGGAGGGTAGAATAATTGGTGACGAAACTTCCGAAACACGGCGCAAGCGGGAACTGCACCAGCGGATGGACATTGACGACAGCGATATCGTTATACAGGGTAGTACGACTACGCGTTTGTCTCGCAAACAGGTAATTTCTTTCATCTCTTTTCCTGCATCTTAATGGTTTACACAAATTAGAAAACCTCCGACACTCGTATTTCTGTCTTTTCCATTTTCGATATAATGAAATTTTTTCTTATCGATTCCTTATATGCTTTCGAAATTTTTATTCAAATTATCGTTTAAAAAAAATACCGATATTATTTTTCTCTTTATTTTACTTTAAATGTGCATGAATTTAATTTCTTTCGATTAATTCTTAAGACTCGTGTGATTATCTCCTTCTATCGTAACGTTAGCGTAAGAGCGAGCAAGTTCTGTGCCGGTACGTACAACGATGGGCAAAGGACTACCTCCGACGACGTTTGGACTGGACAGTGGACGAAGAAGGTGGCAATCCTTCTTCTCCTCGACACTTGTCATCCGCCTTGTGTCCGTGTCAGTACGTAGAGGAATGGCTACGCAATAAACCCCAGATTCAAGGAAGAGACTTTTGCCCCAGGTGGAGCAGTTTTCTCAGAGACAGGGGCTTGTAAAAAGGAATAGAACCTACTAAAGCTTCTCATTCGTCATCGCGGTCGACACATTGTTGCACGATGCATATCACCGCGTTCGATTCGTTTAATTTTCTACCACCGAACAAAATGAGAAATTCGCTGGGATTTACCCGAAATCGTAGCTCGTCCAGGGGCAAACACAAGTACACAGTACCGCGCACAGCTAGGATATTTTTTAACGGAAAAAGATAAACGAGTAACAGGGCCACATACCGTTCGGTAGAAGTTAAACGAATTAGAAGGTATCTTGGTTAACTCGTGGGTCCTCGGGGTCGAGTGGACGCAGGGCCACAGCGTGTACTATAAAAGTCCCGTGTGTGTGTGTGGCAGGAGCGGGCGGAGCTGCTGTTGCTGAGGTACGTCTCCCGCTGGGCGCGACACTTGGTTCGTCGCAGGCTCGACCTGGTCGTAGACTCTCGGGACCGTGGTAGAAACGCCGGCGCCATGGGACTCTCGCCGCGACACTGTGTCTCCGCCCGCTGCCCTTGCCAATTTATCGAGGACCATCTTCGATATAAGCCCAGAGGCAAGTCATCCTACTTTACTATGCCGAATTTCGCTTCCTCCTAGTCGCTTTTTCCGTCACGGTCGGTGTCTTGGTTATTGTCATCTCATTGCGCTGCGCGAGACCCCGAACTTGCCCTTGACTCGACTCGAAGATCACCCTGAATGTCCGTTGCATATGTTGAGATACATCGAATCGGAGAGAAGACTGGACGGGGACTCGACTTCCAGAGAATTCTATACCGGTATAAACCTCCATTTTATTTTTCTATATGCGAAGACCTTATGCGATCGTATCGTAACATTCCACGAATCCATTCAACTTCCGTCGAGCCTCGACCGATCTTCCCTCCGATTGCCAGTTCTTCCAGAAAGTCGCAGGAATCTGAAATTCAACCTCGGTCTCCTGTTACTATCGTAGACTCGAGCAATGGCACGAGACTTTTCAAAAGATCATTCAAAATTGCCCTGCATATTTTTATCGAGATCATTGCTTTGGAACAAGTACTACGCGATGTTAAGCACAATTGTCAAATCTCTAACATAGTACTAAGCGAACCCATATTAATTCTAGGAACTAAATGGTTCGTATATATTCGATAAATATTAATTCCGTCCTTACTGAAATCTAACAAAGTATTTTGAAACATTAGTATTACACGCGAACCGCATTTAAGTTGTACTTAGGGCAACTGTGCATTAATATTAATTTTGCAAGTTTTAACGATACGGTTTGCCCAACTTTCGACAATAAATGCAAAGCATTTGATATACATATATATATAGAAAGAGAGAGGGAGAGAAAAAAAGAGAGAGTATATATACATTTTTAACAATATTACGAAGGTACCAATTTTAAAATAAATATATTACGTATACGCGTGCGTGTACGAATATTATATGTTTACACATGTATCTTTGTTAAAATCTGTATTAAACTATGGTTGATATATTTTATCAGAAATTTGTGTTCTCCCTGAATTAGTTGCAAAGGAATGGGAGAAAGCTTTTAAGGTGGAAAATGTAATTAATGACTAATCGTTGACTATTGGTTGCATGCAGCAGGGAAACAGGCAGTTCAAGTCGCTGTCCTCTCTAATCAAGCTTTGGACACTTAAATTTATACTTGCTCTAAGGGCGTAAGTATTGCGGGACTTCACTTGTGTCTAACTCCATTTCTTTTATTTTAACTGGAAAGGTACTCGTAAAGGCAAGTTTTTATCTTTAGATCTCAGGGATTCTAGGCCTCGCTAACCCTGGCTTCTAGTCGTTAGACTATGCAGAAAACCACTGCATGCATTTTTGACAAAAGGTATTTTTCTGTTTGCTGCTAGTGTTGGATGCTAGAAGAAATGGGATTATTCAGATTGTTTTAACTTAGTTACATGACAAATATGGTTGCCCCAGTGGTTTGCTATTCATGGAAAGGGTCTACAGTGTCACACGGATGCTACTAACACATTTTCTGCATTAACATCACTCGATCACCAATTATAGGACATTTTTCATGCTGCGTCCAACACGTGTTGCAAGCTGCGGGGAGTTAGGCACGTTGATTGCTGAAATTTTGAATAGTACATAGATCCTCTTCGAGTCGCTGCATTACCTCCAATAGTGGTACACTTTCGTTAATTCATTGCATTCGATAGCAAGTTCGAATTTACATCCTTATTCCAGTACAGCTAGTGCAGGTAATGCAGGAGACCCATAGTAACTTTTGATTTCTAGGGTACCCACCTGGCTTCACCTGGTGCGCTTATCTTAGCGATCCAGCTGTTCGATCGGATGACATTGTTCCTTTTCGCACCTCTTCGTTGTAACACTCTTAAATGAGAAGTAATACCATAGAATAGGAATATTGACGCACACAAAATTCCTTCTTCGAGAAGAGATATACCCACTGAGCACTCGGGATTCTAATGTCACATTAGTATTTGATTTAATGCAAGCATGTTCATTTTTGTTTATCAAGCTACTACGAATGATCGAGATCATTTATCCGTCCTTGTTGCTTTAGACAAAATTTACTTCGTTAAGACGTATACAATCTTTTGAAACATATTTAATTACGATATAGAACTCTCTAGAAATATTAGAAATGCGAGCCTAAAATCTTGTATAAGTATAACGCATTTGCGTTGTGTACAAAATATTATTGCGTACAAATTTTGTAAAACGGAGTCAAGCATGTATCTTAGAAATGATCATTACGATCGTTAGAATTGGCAGAGTTATTTAGACCTGTTTAAAGCACAGCACTATATCCATGACGTCCTGTGTTTCTTGATTAGGAACACAATCCTTTGAATGGGGTAAAAAGACCGTCCTCAACGAGAAGAGAGGAGTTAATATTTTGAAAGTATATTACTTGTTAAGGACTGTACATGCATGGATACGTATATGTCAACTAATTGGAATTTATAATAATGCATTCCAAGAATCGTGCATATCAGCATTTTATAATAGATATATGTGACGTTTCTTTTATGTGTACAAATGCTTACGACGGATTTTATGGTATCTTTAAAAGAAGACTACCAGTCCTATACTTTTACAAGTTGTACAAAATGAAATGTGCCTTTAATGCAGAATAGACGTATATTACTATACTTACTAGAAAAATATAATTGATCTACCTTTACACTTTTACCGATACTTTTATAGTTCCATCCTTTTTCCATTTTGTCCCCATAAATTAACAACCAATTTACTAGCTACTACAAGACAGAATAAACCGAAACATCAACTATGAAATTTGTTTGATATTTAAGATTATATATAATATATAACATATTGGTTTAAAACTATGTCTTTTCTCTCAGGGTATATACACAAACATTAACCATCGTCTTAGACTTAATAAAAAAAAATGTAGGCACGTGTTACCTGTTGTGGAACCTAATAAACCGAATACATGAAAAAATACATACATTGGATGAAAATCAGTATCGCTTTTCTAAAGCATCTTGTGCTTGCTTCCTTATATCCTGTGCCAATATTTTCATCTCTTCTCTTATGGATTGTAAATTGTTCACTTCTTGTTGCAACTCGTGATCTAAAGTTTTCATATTCTGCACAAGTTCGAGACAAGATTTTCCTCTCGTATAAACCTCTTCGGGATCGTTGGAATCCATTGGAAAATGTAAACTCTTGCGATGGTCATCTAAGAACATATTGCTGTAGCGACTCGCGCGATAAATAATTTCAAGTAAAGCATACCTTTACTTATTGCAGTAAATGCTACATCGTCTAAAGCGGTATCGAGTAAATCTTCCAATATTTGCTGCGAAGTGGGTGGGCGAGGTGTCGGCGGTAAATTATTTTTTTTACTCCCAAACATTTTTTCTCAATAACGAGCAACCGAAACACTTTGAGTTTACTTCACAAACACCTTTACCATACGATTTATCCCAAATGACAACACTATAAAGCAATTAAAGGTAACATAACCTTGGTCTCAATTGTCGAGTTCATGCGCGCCAATACACTGACCGGTAAATAAAAGCACCTCTAGAGAAATCGGTTAAGATAGAGCAAAGTGAAGTTACGTTCGAAAATGTCCGAAGTCAACTTCGTTTAAAGTTAACCGAATTATTCAACAGATGACTTTGTCATGTGCGCGAGCCCCTACCAAAAATTCGTTGCGCCGCCCTTGGGGGGCAAAAACGGTGAAAGCTCACGTACAAAACCAGAGGGCCACACGATGCGATCGCGCGACCCTGCCCGTGAGCAATCTCCCAACTCATCTCTGGTACTACTATTTATTCAATGATAAGTATTACAGTATGAGAAATAATTGTACGATAAGTACAATTATTTACAATTATTTCTCTGCACCTCGAGCGATTCGAATTCCGCGCTGCTCCCGCCGCTAGTACGCTGCGCGGCCGGAGAGGGCAGAGCGGACCAGGAGGAAACCATCAATGGAGTTCAGTGTACATTCGTTTACCCCTTCCACTGCAAGGCGGTCTAAAATCTGATTGGGTCCGAGTGCCGTCGGCATACCAACGATCCATGTAGTATTCGAGTTTACTCCTTCCACTGCTATGCGAGGTCTGGATATTTATGGTCTAAGATTGAGAGTAATGCCGCAACTGTCACGGGAGACGCGCGGAACAGATCGCGCATTTGCACAGGGAAGCCGCGAAGTGAGTCGCGCGTGTACTCTAGAGCGCGCGGTGTCGTGCACGATGGCTGACGAAACTCGAACGAGGTTGCTCGAACTGGTCAAGGAGCAAGGCGAAGTCGTGCGCAAATTAAAAGCCACCAAAGCCGAAAGTGGAAAGGTACGTTGAGATCGGAGTAGCCACGACAAAAAGTAGTCCCAGAATTGAATCGGACCGCCCGGGCATATGGACGACGTCGTCTCCGTTGTCTCGTGCAATCGTCAACTGACACCGACTGGCACGTGGCTCCCGTCACCGATCAACTTTCACTGTAATTCCGAGAATCCCGGATTCGCTTCTAGTTTTATTGCGCCAGACGGTGCACGGAAAGTTTCTTCAGCATTCGAACCGTTCGAGTCCGTTACGTCGCGAAAGGAACTCTCGAATCGTGCCCTTGATGTAGTTGCAAGCGAAACCAATTCTGGGGACCGTTGCCGCTCTCTGATCGCCTTGAATGTAAAGTAACTGAAATTCGATGAAAAAGCATTTTTTCAAAATGTATCAGCGAGCGAATGAAAGAAAGTAGTATTTTCAGTTATAGCATTCGGTGGTACATTGATTTGTGAACAATGGTATCGGTTATGAGGCATCCTAATGTGTTTCCTTCTTTAGGGATCTAACAAGTCGGTGGACTTAAGGTCCGAATTAGAAGCCCTAAACGAAGCTCTCGGCGATGTCAGTTTCGTATGCGGGTGGATCGTTTCGTCACAGGATGTTCGACTATTCGATTTATGTTCCACCCACCTAAATGGGGAACTCGTGCGTTGGCCAAATTTGAAAAGATGGTTCGATAATATTGGAAGCTACTCCCAGGAGGAGCGGCTCGCGTTTCCTACTCCGAAAAATCCTACGTCTCCTCTGGCGAGAAAAGTTGAACGTATAACTAACTTCGGTTCTTCCGAAACAAATTGTTTAGATAAAAAGGTGAGGCAGTAGTTGCATGCGAGCGGCGCTGCCACAGATTGGCTTTCGGTATCGGAGTTGATTCTACTTGATTTTAATTAATAAATTAATTGGCATAAGTAAATGGAACAAATTTTAATTCTGCATTCGATCCATTACAAACTCTTCGAAATAGTGATATCGTTGGATCATTCGTTACTTTCTTTTTAGACCTCTATAATTACTGTAAATCAAGTGATAAGCCTTGGATAAATACAGTTTGCTAAGTTATCTTACCCACAAAATTATCCCCTCTCCCATATAATAAAGGCAACAATGATATACACGTTTAAAAAGAAAGTACTCTGTGGCAGCTGCAAACTGGCTCGCTAATTTGGATTATATGTCATGTTTCGGGTAGTTCGGTAATCAAGACTGAGGTGGACTTTTCTCTTTGATTCTGGTTCCGATATTCTTCCATTCTACGCCATGATTCGTCTGATGCGTGTTGATTTCACACTTGCAACTCGGAAATATTTCAACACGACTGCGCTCGCTGCTCCGCAGGTACGAGAGCCTATTTATTCGCGGTCAGGAACATATTTCTTTCATTGTGAACTTTAAAGTAATTTAGGATTAATGATTCGTTTCCATATTTCTATACAGATAGCGGAAGAGGTGGCTAAATTGTTGGACCTGAAGGCGCAACTAGGAGACGAAAATGCTGGACCTCAGAAGTTGATATTAAAAACACCAAAGGGTACTCGAGACTATAATCCTGAGCAAATGGCTCTACGTTTAGGAGTCCTAGACAAAATAGTTACCGTATTTAAGCGTCATGGTGCCGAAACGATAGATACCCCCATATTTGAATTGAAGGTATGCAATATCCCCATTTCTATGACTTTGTTGCTGTATTACATGTCGCGGAACTAATTAATCCGATTTGCTGCTTTACAGGAAGTACTAACGGGGAAATACGGTGAAGATTCAAAATTAATCTATGACCTGAAAGATCAGGGTGGTGAAATTCTAGCTCTCAGATATGACTTGACAGTTCCTTTTGCAAGGTATTTGGCCATGAATAAGATTACCAACATAAAACGGTATCACATAGCAAAGGTTTACCGAAGGGACAATCCTGCAATGACCAAAGGCAGATACCGAGAATTTTATCAGTGTGTGAGTTTTAATAAAACCATACTTATTAAACGGTGCTGTATTATAAATATACCTGAACGTATGATATTCTTTTCTACATCCAGGATTTCGACATAGCTGGTCAATACGATTTAATGATACCGGATGCAGAATGCTTACGCATAGTTTCAGAGGCTCTAAACTCCTTGGACCTGGGTCCATATTTAATTAAGATGAATCATCGGTGTCTACTGGATGGCATTTTTGCAGCCTGTGGAGTACCCCATGATAAGTTTCGCACGATATGTTCTTCGGTAGACAAATTGGACAAGAGCCCTTGGGAAGAAGTACGAAAGGAAATGGTGGAGGAGAAACAGCTCGATGCGACAGTTGCTGACCGAATTGGGACTTACGTGTCGAAACAAGGCTCCGTGGAACTAGTAAGCGAACTTAGAAAAGATGACATTTTAATGAAGCAGAAGAGTGCAATACAAGGCCTCGAAGCTATGGAACTGTTGTTCAAATACTGTGACCTTTATAAAGTGACCAATAAAGTGATTTTCGATTTGAGTCTCGCAAGAGGACTCGATTACTATACGGGCGTTATTTATGAAGCAGTATTAACAGGTAAGATGGTTGCTCCCTAAATTAGATATTCGATTCAGCCACTTTGATATGAAGGTTCCGGAAGATTGGATTTTATTTTGATCGTTAAATATTTTTTTCCAGGCGATGACGTAGGAGTCGGTAGCGTGGCAGGCGGAGGTCGTTACGATAACCTAGTCGGCATGTTTGATCCTAAAAAGAAAACCGTACCTTGCGTCGGAGTGTCTATAGGAGTGGAACGCATCTTTAGCGTTTTAGAATCGAAGCTGGAGAACAAGGGATTAAAAACTCGTACCGCGGAAGTACAGGTATTCATCGCCAGTGCCCAGAAGAACTTGCACGAAGAACGAATGCGCATCTTGGTCGACCTCTGGGAGGGTGGGCTTAAGGCGGAGCAATCCTTTAAAAAAAATCCAAAAATATTAGGACAGTTGCAGCACTGCGAAGACAACGGTATCCCACTCGCCGTGATCATCGGAGAAAGCGAATTAGCGAGAGGAGAAGTCACTCTGAGAGAAGTTAAGAGTCGAGTGGAAAAAGCGGTCCCGCGTGCCAGATTAATCGAAGAGATACAAAATTGGCTCCAGAATAATTCACCGTCGAACTCTTAAAGCATAACAACCCCTCAAAAGATCTGCATTTTCAGCGATTAAACGACGTACACCGGTACACCACGAAAACGTACAATGGTTACCTTCCACCCCGTGACTGATTACCTACAGGGATTGTCTCGCTATCCCCACCACAGTCGTCGAAGTTCAGCGCTCACTTCGTGCTTCATGAGAAGTACTTGTCCGCTAAAGGCTAGATGCTGCTTCGGTGCAGCGTCGAACGTTTGACGACATCTCAACGACCAGGTCGAGCCTCGCAACCCTAAACAAATCACCGTTAGTAGCTAGAGAAAGCCAAGTACTCTTAATTTATTGCACCATGTTATCAAATAAAACGTTGCATTAAACGCCTTGCCGTTATCTACCTAGCACCACCTAGAAGACGTCGCCTTTGCCGACATTCAGGGACACGGAGAGATTAAAACGGTCTCTGCATAAAATCGCAGGAAAATGGACAAGGATTTGATAAGATTAAACCGAGATCGGCTTTGGTTCCCCTGCTAAGACTCAAGCCTATACGTTTCAATATCCACGAGGATATCGCGGTCGATATATTCAATCACTTTCTTGTCATATGGCTTATCTCTACTAGGAAAAAAACAAAGTATTTACAAATTACAAGGTAACGAATACATGGTATCTCGATACTATCATATATAGGTGTCGATTCGAACCAGCCGAATCGATTGAATATCATCGCGATTAATCTTGTCAGTCTATCACAGTATTCCCGTATTCGCTTACAAGTTACGCTTCCCCGTGAACGCGAGTCAAGAATCTCGAAGGACCGCATCCTTCGGGTTTCCGATCCCTCGTCCGCGCGTTGTCCGAGTAATCGTGTCTTACGTCTAAGGCAAAATGCCTCGGCATTTCTATCATCCGTACGAACAAAGCGTGCCGACTTTCCATCGCACCGTTCCAACTGTGATACGGAGCACGAAGAACTTCATTCCGGGTTAGTTTAATCCCTTAATTATGCCTCGGCTGTCCTTCAAAGTTCGCCTTGTCTACACGTTGTTTTAAAGCAACTACGGATTTTTCGCGTAGGTCCAATATGGTGTCTTTTACGTTTTCATCGGTTTTGCAATTACGGTTCCTTCCTTTTTGGCTCGGATACGGAAGTCGAGGCTCTTTCGTTGGGCGACTCTACCTTGACTTCCGCTAAGAGTCCTCTGTTTTCAAGACCGACTGCCATGGAAGCTCTGTACTGTTCGAAAGGGTTTACAGCAGGTTTCTCGATTTTCACTTCCACTAGAGGCTTGTAACAGTCAATGGACACCCTAGGCTTGTCGTTGGGTGTCCTAATCGTCGAACTTTTCCTGCTGCTGGCAGCTGATCCCGCTGAACTACTTAGCTGGGAGCCCATCGACGTTTTCCTAGCCGAGGATCTTTGACTCTCGGACCAAGGCTCAACCGATACGGATGTTTTTCTTTCTACTTTATCTAACTCTCGCGAAGACGTTTCCCCGGCTTTTCTACTCTCTTCTTTGGCCCGAGAAGTAGCCATTAACGTTTTATCGCACGAATTCGAGGGTCCGGTATCTACATTTGATGTTTCCAATAAAGGAGGTCTGTATCGAGGACCATCCAAATCTTTTGTGCGAGTTTCTACAGATTTTGATGCGTCTGGGTAAAATGTCCCATCATTACCTTCCGTCCCGCTTTTTTCGCTACTAGACGAGGATTCCCCCAAAATTGATTTACCTCCTTGATATTGAATTAATAATTTCTCCAGAGAAGCCAGACTTAAAAGAGAAGACCCGGACTCTTTTCTGTCCTCGGAATGGTCTACAGACTTTCCGTCGTTCGCGCGTTTCTCCAAGTCGGTCATGGGTAATTCTTGGCCCCCCTTAAATTTCTCTTTTAGATTTAAATCGGACAATTCGCTCCATCCCGAGTCGAGGGATAAAGTAGGCTCAATTCTGACATCCTCCAAACTAGTCGATGTGCAAGAAATGGCCGTAAAATCCTCCAAGAACCCTTGAACGTCCCTCTCTTGTACCCCAGAAGACCGTTCGAGCGAATGAGACCTGAGCAGTTTTTTGTCTTCCGGTGATCTGATCACCGAAGTGGAATCCGAAGAACTTTTCAATTCGCTGCTAGACGTTTCCGACGAGGTTACCGAAGTCGACCTAGAATCTACATCCGCATCAGTTCTGTATGTACGATCGGCGACGATAGAAAGGTCGACGCCTACCGTTTTAGCGTCACGATCGTTAAAAATTCCCGAAGTCGCGAAACCCTTCTTAGGATCCATCGACCTCCCGGAATCTTCAGCCTGATTCGTTTTATCGGGCTGTACGGTTAACGCTTGTCTTCTATTTGCCATCACGTCGTCGGACATGGAAGCTTCCGGTGATGCTATCGTGACCGACTTCCCTGTCGTTGCAGACCCTGGCTTCAGCGGCTTCTTCAAAAAGTCCCTCTGCCATCCTGCGCCAGAAAACCGGGACGAGTCTTCCGGGCCGCCCATCGTCGAAGAAATTAAATTGGATCCATCAGAATTCACGTCGCTGAGACTAAAAGCTCGGACCCGCCGCTGAAGATTCATCTGACTAATTTGCCGCTGGAGCATCCCAGCTTTCCACCGCGGAATCGGTTTGGTGGGATTGACGGCCCCAATTTTCGAGTTGAAGAACCCACCTAGCCCACCGGGTCTGGCATCGACGTTGGAAGTCGCTTGAGTCGACGGAACGCTGATTTGCGCGGGTCGCAAAGAGAATCTTCGCAAATTGGAGGTGGACGTTGTCATGGGGTGAGAAATTCCTGGAGCTCCTTCCATGGAAACCAGAGGTTCCTTTGAACTCACGAAGACGAAGGGGTCCGCCGAGTACGGTGGCGGGTTGCTCGGCTCCGCAAATTGACGATGAGCCTGGAGTACACATCGCGGTTAGTCAAAGCTTCGAAACTAATCTAAGCGTCAACGAGATATCAGCCTGCACTTACGGATAAATATGGAGACGCGTGTTGCGGCGGCGTGCTCGCCGGCGTGTTGACGGGCCTGAGCGAGAATCGTCTCCTTGGCTTCGCTGCGGGCCCCGCGAAGCTCATCTTCCTGCTATAGCTCGGCGTTGCAGTCCCGGAATTGTCCACAGTCCTCAGAGAGAACCTCCTTGCAGAGTTCTGAGCGGCGGTCACGGTGTTCTGTTGGCTCTGCGTAGCCGAAGCGGCACCGGAAGGTGGGGAAAACAGGGTCAACAGGCTCGGGAGTTTCGGCGGAGTCAAAGAAGCGGTCCCCATCTTCCTTTGGGGTTTGCGAACATATTCATCGGGGACGGCTCCTACCCTGGTGTGAAGAGCGGTCAAGGCCCTGAGGAAGTCGGCCAGCGAAGTTTCCTCGAGGAGATTCCCGCTCTCCAGAGCATCCGACAGATTCGCCGCTCCCGTATGGGTGAAGTAATGCCTGGTCATCGAGTTCCTCGTCTCGGCGAATATCGAAGACGGTATCTGACCTGCTCCGATGGAGGAGTAGTGACCGATGTCCTTGGGCGCTTCCAAATCGTCGGCGGAATTTCCTGCCGACTGGTCTGCCGAGGTCTTTTTATTGGACAACTGTCTCATCCAACGCGGCAGCAGGGCCTTTTGTACGGATTTCGGTACAGCCAACGAAGGGAACTTGGTTCTCGATTCCTTCGCGCCGGAAGGTCCGCTTCCGCGAGCCTTCATGATCTCCTGAATCTTCCTGGAGGCCGCAGGGCCTGACCAGGTCCACTCGCGGTTTTGCCCGATATTGCCGTCCATTTTCGGATTCAGGCGGACTTCGCTGGACGCCCTTGATCTGGGCCTCGGAACCGTAATCTTCTCTCCCCCGATTTTCCAGCTCGACTCGTTCCAGGATCTCTCGCTGGCTAAAATGTCTTTCTCGGAGAAGCCTTGAACGCCTCGCGATTCTGCCGCTTGTTCGTGGTCCTGGTCTGCGGTTTCGTTCAAGTCGCCCGGCGGTGGTGGAATATATCCTAGCACGTTTACCAGCCGCGCCAGTAATTCCGCAGGTTGGACCATTGCATGGGAAGCGAAGGTTGCCGTTTTGTCGATCCTTTGCAGGTCCGTCTCCGACACCACGCGCGTCACCTGGGTTTCCTGTTAAATTCACGCGGGATGGCATAATTACCCGAGTCTATTTTCAGGAGGTACGTAAGTGCAATCGAAGATTGAACTTTCATCTCACCATAGGAACGACTTCGCTGTTGGCCCGACGTCTAGGATGCGGAGGAATAGGATTCGCCAAACCACCATAGACCAAGTCTCTGAGATCGGGAAAACTGTTGCTGCGAGTAAACTTACTGGGTGGTGTTTGATATTGTACCTCGTCGACGTAGACCCGCTGGAAGAGAAAAAAAAATATATACATTAAACTTAATTATTACTCCTTAATTTTTTCCTCTCCCCATTTAGGAGGATTACGAGTGGACGGTGCATTTTTACCTTGACTTTCGAGAGCTGCAACTCGTTGAACACCCTCCTGAGATAGTTGACTTCTTTGTTAAATTCGTGCCAGATCCTGCTCTGCGTGTGCTTAAGATTCATCGCTAACTTTCGCTCCAACCTGGTGATCTTCTTGCTGCGCATTCCTCGAGCAATAAACGTCATTATCATGACTATGTAACCCAGTCCGAAAGAGATCCAACAGATCAGGAACGTCTTGTACAGGATAAAAAATATTCCACTTCCTTTGGTGTTGTCTTGGCCTGTAGAACGGAAAACGACGAGAACCATTGAGATTTACCGTTTCGATGATCTCAAATTATTATACACGATACATAATATTTCATTAAAACGTCAATCTCGACTCACCTCAATCTTATCCCAATATAGGCAAGCGGGTACAAACGTAAATATTATAAAATTTATTTTTATCAATACCATGAGTAAAAAATGACCTTAAGTAGCAGAAACCCGACTCGAGTGTTAATTTCAATTATTGTAAATAAGAATATCATCCCTTGAGAAGGAGAATTCCCGACCTGCCACGTAATCCCCAAAACCGATGGTGGTCAGGGTAACGAATGCATAGTACACCGCCTCGTCGTAGCCCCATCCCTCGAAGTGGGAGAAGAGGAAGGCAGGGAAGAAGATGAACATGACGAAACCTGGTATCAGGTACATGAAAATACGGACGGCAAGGCTGGCCTTCCTCGTTTCCAAGGGGGACTTCTTGAGCGAGTCGCTTTGGCCGTGATTGTACGACTTGTACTTCTGATGAGCTCGCACGAACACATTCCCGAAGAATTCACCCAGTTGCGTAAGCAAGATCCCGTTCATGGGTATCCCAACGAGGCCGTAAAAAATCATCAGGATGCGTCCCAGCATGTTCGTCGGAGCCAAATTCCCGTACCCTGGAAAACGAAGGGAAGCATGTAGCGAACCTTTGCAAGCTCTTCCAAGATCTGTAGGAACTTTCTCTCGTAGAATTACGCGCGTAAAATCGACGCGACATACGCATTGCGTACTCGCAATAGTACCGAGTACGATGACGCGTAACGCCTAGTTGTTGGAAGGTCAAGGGTGCGACCACGTCCTTCGCGTACCGTGTTCCCGTCCTTCGATTCGGCTTTAACGCGATATGAAAGGGTCATTTTAAAACTTTAATACGTGATTGTGGAGACCCTAAGAAAAAAACGTGGTGTTCGTGAAATTTGATTTTTTCTTCCTTAGGGCCTCCATAGTCACGTGCTGAACTTTCGAATGATTCGGTGCCCCCAGTTTGGAGAAAGGGTTCATACAAATTTGTTAACATTTTATATATACCGAATGACCCTTTCGTATCACCTCGAGCACCCACTCGTGTACGTAAAATCCAATAGAATTAAGGCACGACTGGATAAAACTCACCGTTCGGAAAAGAAGCATAGGCTGCGAGTAATCTCGATTCGAGCGAAACTTACCGATGGTACTGACCACGGTGTACGCAAAGTAGAAGCTGTTGTAGAAGTCCCATTTCAGAGGGTCTGTCTCGCCCTCGGTGTAATTGTATACCGATTTCCCGCAGTAACTGGTAAGCTTTTCCAAAATCTCGTGCTGGTCGTGCCAACCATCCGGGACGTAGTGCTGGTGAAGGAGAGCTAGAAGCCGAGGAGCATTCGTAAATCGTTTTATTATTACGTTACAATGTAATCTCTTCATCCGGGAGAATTGGGTCATGCCAAAGGCTACGTTTATCTCGGCGCATCTGCAGGGGTCATTTGGACCGCCATAGCGACATCGAGTCCCATCGACCTTATCAAAGCATTCCGAATAAAATACCCTCGGATCATTTTTCTTTTTTAGTACCTACTAGACTCTGATATACGTAACAAAATATTAATTGCACACACGTCGCACAGAGGCATAACCGTTGTCGGTCCATCATAATTTATTACGCTATGCCCAGATTACGGGTAATTACATTAGCACGAAATAAATAACGTTAAAGGCCCAATTTGAATAATTAGTTGTGCTTGAAATTGCGACAGTTAGTAGAAGCACCTCTCGAAGTGACGTTAACGTTGCTCGCTGTAGATAAATGAAAAGTTTTTTTTCAATTCCACCGGGTATGATTTATCGCGAAAGAGGAATCTCGTTACATGGCTAAGGAAGAAGTTTGCGAATCTTCCGACTTGTTGCTTTTCTGTAATTCCGAATAAATAAATAAATAATCGTTCCTACGTTGAACGGTGCAGGCGAACATATATGTCAACGTGGCTGGATCCTACAATTGAACAAACGAATAATGTAACTAGCAAATATCAGCTGATAAGATAATAGCGAGCAATTGGCTCGAAGATAGCCTCCTGTTAAATGGAAGTTGAGTATCCCGTGCAGATTAATGGAAGGAATAATTGGTCCTAGCGCGACCCGAAGGGTACCCTTTAACGAGATGTCTTCCCGAAGAGACGAAAAGTCGAAGAGATTCGAAGCTTCGTAGACTCGATTAGGGTTCGATCTCACCTGCAAGCATGCAAGACCTAACAAAGGGTGCAACAAAAATTTATTTTCAATCCTTGATCGTCGCGGTTCTTCAAGACCTTTTAGAGAGTATCAGAAAATCGCGTTTTGCCGCTCAAGGAGGACCACCGGACATCGTAAACACGTTTCGTGTCCATTACTCGACAATTGCTTCGCACGCGTAAGAGTTACACGACAAAATTCAACGAGTTTAGATGCTCGAGACGATTTTTACGGAGGTCACCGCATATGACACGCCGCAATTTATTTTCGCATTCTGCTCGGTGGTCCGAGCTCGAAAAGGGAAATTATTCAAGAATTATTCGGGATTTACCTAGATAGCGTTATCGCTAGTCACCACCTCGAATCGCGTTTACATCGAATGTTTAGAGTACCTGCATTAATACATCGTTGACCGATCACGAGTTAACTCGTGCCGGAATGACGTGCGTCGTAAAATGGCCAGTCAACAATGTTTTAAATTCCAAGAAAGAATCTTTTTTTTTTTTAATCGAACAATCCCCAATCTTTGCACGTTGTTCCAAAATCAGTCGACAAATTTTACCCGTAATTTTTCAGCGTCTTTTTCCAACTGGATGTAAAGCCTATGAAAACACCGATTGTCGGCAGTAAATTACAACTAAAGTATATACCCCGTGCATCTCGTCGCCTCCACCTGCGTACATCGCGTCCGATTGATCGAGCCGAATTATCGCCCAATGCAAACTCCAGGAGGTACGGAAATAATCCAGGAACCTCGACGTCGAGCATGAATTATAAGATCTTGCGATCCGAATTTGGAAGGCTTATCGAATTGTCCAGAATTACGCCCCGCCAGACGTTTGCAACAATTCCTTAAGAGTCCCCTCCGTGATATGTCTTTGTCTTGGCACAAGTGTTCGACCAATCCATGACTGGCGGATTATGTTTGGGTCAAAGAACTTACGAGCATATAAATACGCTTCGTGTCGTATTCCCGTAATCTCGCGCAAGTGTTCCTTGCGAGGCTAAGCAAAGGACATGTCGTACAATTACGGACCATTTTTGCGGTTTCTCGACCGATGGAGTGGTTTACGCTCCTATACATTGCGTTACGTGAACGCACCGACGCACGTGGGACCAACGTATTTCAGATTACATATCGCCACTAAATTTCTAGGTATCGAGGCATCGGCCCATCAGGTATCTCGTCCAAATTGCGTCAATCCACCTGCGGTCGGAGGACCGTCAAAGGTTCATCGAACGCCTACGACTCCTTCGGCAAACCGACAGGACTTATTCGCTAATTGTACATTATGAATGGGTTTTACTTACAGAGTAACATAATCAATTACCGTCCATACTTATTCCTTACGCAACTCTCCAGTAACTACATATACGAGCGATTAAATACTCGCGTTAGCGACAGAAAATATCACGGAAAATGATATCACGAATGACTATAACTTTGTCGGTCGACGCCTAGCATTTCCTATTTCCGTTTCCTACGTTCCAGTTGTTCCGTTTAATGAAAATACCGTCAACTCGAAGTCCAAGAAAACAATGTCCTAGGATGAGTTTTGCCATTTAGGGGATCGAACAATGTATCTCAAATTTCCGACCGTCCAAGGGGAGCCGGACGAAGCAGGAAAAGTAGGAAAAATTGAATTGCACCATTTCTGGTAAAACTTCATTGCCATACAATTAACCGTAATTGACGCTATTCTGGGCGGAACGTTAAAAGGACATTGTTAACTCGAATCGTCCCGTTCCGTTCGATTCTATGTTGTCTTTGTGGTTTCCCGAATGGGACTCGTGGGAGCGGTTAATAATATGTACCGATCACCTCGGCCAGCCATTTCGTCACGTTGACTATCGATGACACTGACACTGGACGTTGTGGACGCTGCATTATAGTAAGCGGCATTGTAAGCCGGTCATCGAACAAAGCTAGCCTTCCTCGAACAATGATGACTCGGGGCACGGCTCTGCATACAAAAATCGAAGCTTCGCCGGGCCTACGAGTCGTTTCAACGCGTTCCTCGTGATCGGCTTACCGGGGAGCCTACGACCTCTGGTCGATTTGCAGATATGGATCTTCTTTTTTTTTTTTTTCATATACTTTTCTTACGCAAGAACACCAAATGAGACGTTAAACGAAACTAAAGATGCGTCGTTTAAATCGCGTAAAAAAAAAAAAAAAGAGGTTTCGAAAACTCGTAAAACTCCAACCGTAAAGCGTGCTACAGTGATGGGTTTCTCGAAATCAGCTGATCGAAACAGGCAGAAACGATATCGATAAATATTTACTACCTCGCTTACGTTCTCCTAAATTACTCGGCGATGTTAAAACTGCCATTATCGGCGCAATTACTCGCCTAAATTACGTCGCCGTTGCGGAATATTATACGGAATATATTTTTCTTTGCGTTCGCGCGTAGAGATAAAACAGGAAACAGAAACGGCAGGTATGCGCCCGCACTATGAGAGTCCCTTATATCGTTTTATCTCGAGCTGTGATTATCGTTTCGATAATTTGTGATGTCATAAAAGGCGTGCGACAAGTTTCGATTGATACGTCTATTTAAAAAAAAAAAAAGAAAAAATAGAACACTACACGATTTACTCGTTAACGCGACGAATGGATTCCGTCCGAGTACCGAAAGCAACATCCCCTACCAGTAAATACGGAAATTCTAGATCGGCCCGAGTTTCGATTGCCCGATAAATCGGACCAGGAATGAAACGATTAAAATTGACTAAACGAACGCCTTAAAATTTGTATTCGAGCTCCTTGAGTTTTCGCGATGCCCTCCCCCCGGATCGGTAGGGTCACCAATGGGATTGGAGAAATTCTGGAAAAACGATAGAAACTCACCATTGATCTCCATGCGCTCCATTCTGGCCTTCCGAACCTTCTCGACCTCGAGGCGACTCTCGATATGGTAGAAGATGGAGGCTCCCAAGAGGAGATAGGTAAGGAACAGCATCAGCAGGACCATCCATTGCCTCTTCGACATGTCTCCCGGCGAGGTCGACCTGGTCAGGGGTCGGGCTTGGCAATCGAATCGAATCGACCGAACCGAAGCCGGTCGCCCGGGGTTTCCGTCACGAGACCATCGCGGCCGACTGCGGTCCTCGCCGACGGTCACGCCGTCACTGGCTGGTGCGACCGCTTCGGCGCGTCTTTCCCGAAGGAGGCCGCCTATCGCCGGCGCTGACCCGTCCTTAAGGCTCTCCTCGGGGCGTCTGGTCCGCGCGTATCACCGCTCGGCGGACGATAGCGCGACGACGGCGACGCGCCGCAGCCGAACCATCGCGGATGGGGCTATTGGCGCCGCCTCTTCCTGAAACCACCAAATGGACGAGAGCCGCTTCGGTGCAAGGTGCACGCGCCCCGTTCCTCCTTTTCGGTCGGTCGGACACGGAAGGGAGGGAGGAACCCAGGGACGCGAAGGAGTCGCGCCTTGGTCCAGGGATGACGAGTCGGGCGTTCCACCTCGTTAAGGTGATATGCACCCCACCCTCAAATTACGCGGTTTTGAAACGTCATTATTTTATTTATCAAGCTATTTGAAGTAAATATGCATTTCTTAAACTTATAGGCACTAGCTTTTATTACTAATATTTTTTCTCTTTTACCGACAGAATTTTGTTACGCGATGTTCATTCGCGTCAAACGAATCCACGGGGAACGGATACTCCGCGTAAATTGAGGAACGGCTGCATATAGAGCGTAAAATTATTTATGAAACTTCTTTGAAACTACAGCGCGTGATTATGGAGGCCCTAAAGAAGAATCGGTTATCTTCCCCGAGTGGAGGAAAACGGCAGACAAATGTCCCCAACGTGAGTTATCGGGCCTATCGTGCGAAGCAAGAGGCAAGAGGAGCCTCAAGAAATCGGAATCCCTTTCGAGCTCATCGATGACGTCGACCCCCGGAAAGTATTATCGGTGACGGAGACCCTATCGAGGAATCCCGAGAGTCACCCGATCCGAGAAGAACGGGAGGAAAGTCGACTTCGTAAAAATGGGAGGAGGCGCGTTGCGAAAGATTCTTGTCCGACGAACATGGGCAAAAGTGCCACGGCAGAAGTTCGAGCGAAAACGAGAGGAAGCTCCGAGGTGGCCTTAAATCCGCGCGCTAATTGGAAGAGCAAGCACGTCCACGATTCACGGGACATTTTTAGACTGTACGCAAACTCGGCCGCGCGTAAAATCGAGATCATTGTTTTTATATATGGCGCGAGTCGGCCAGTTTTGTCAAGCAAGGTCGAAAACTGCAGATCTCGAGCAGCTCCTCGGTGGCAATTGTCCACGATTCTCAAACGTCACGATCCTTGGTCGACGACGCAAAAACCGGACTCGTGACATTCCTGCCCTGACCTGGCCATACGAACAAACGTCGCTTTAATAAAAAAAATCCCGATTTTTAAACCTACTTCTCCTTAACCCGCATCTCTTCGGTCGACGATGCGGTCACGAGGTGCACCTTGTGACGCTAATTTCACCACCTCTGGTCCGACCACGTCGTCCTCTTTCCGGTCCCCTTTCCGAAGATGCTCGTGACCGGCAACGAAGAGGGAACTGCGTCAACCTCCGAGAGCGCACACGAGATACTTTGCATTCCGCGAATCGTCTCAGCGGTTGTTTCGCCTATTGAGACTATGACCGCGCCTTGCCAACATTTTTAAGTACCTTCCACATAAATGGTCCACTTCCGCGTCAACTGGAAGCAACGCAGGAACTGCAGTCCTCCATCCCGACGCACGATAAGAAGCTTCCGTTAACAATGGCCATTTCATCGCTTCCGTTACATGACAATAACGCGGGTAAACGACGTGTTTGCATAACCTGTATTTACCGCGGGATAAGCCCTGTTTGATCCTCGTGCCCGAGGAAGGGCGATCGATCGCCGATCGAAGAAGTGCATTCATTGTCGCGCCTTCGACTCGGACCATTCGGAGATGATTTAGTGCAGTTCCAGCAACGACGATCCGCCGTTTTATTTGCCGTTGATGTATACTCCTTTGTCGAGGAGTTACCGAGGAATTCCCACATGGTTCTCTCCAGTCTAGATAAGCTCGCACAAACCGACGGTGTAATTGGATGGCCCATGTTCCTTTCAGATTTTTAGTGGCGCGCTATTGCCCATTCCTTTCGGATAAACGTAACAATGGATTTACAAAGAATTATCACGAGCGTCCACGGGGCGATTCCAATCCACGTCTCGCATTTCGAAGCGCGATTGTCGATGTCTTCGCTAAAACGCACTTCGACGAGACAATTTTTTCTTTCCGACCGAGCAACTTCGATGCTGCATTTCCGACGAGCGCATCGGGAGGGAACGGTCCCGAAGTGCATCGAGAAGTGCCGCGAGATGACTGGACGCACAGTCCGCCGCGTCCACGGTCCCATTCGATTAATTCACATTAATTTACCTAATTGTTAGTCGAGCCGCTCGCCGACTACCGTAAGGTACCAGAGATTCCAGATGGGCTCGCCTATCGACTGCCCGACTTCGCCCTTATTTGATAGAAAAATTAGAAACGCCGTTAAAATATCAAATTCCGACTCTGATCCCACGCAAAAATCAAGGGACATCTCGATAAAAACCGTTATATTACTTATGAATCCGTACAAGTATCGGCCTCACAATCTTTTCCTCCTCGTAAGATTTCCAGTAAGAGGTAAAAGCGCGAGTTTTCGCTGCGATATCGCCAAGAATGCGTTTATCGCATAGACCGAAGAAGCGGATTTCTGTGATATTTTTCCAGTCACCGAGATACAGGAAAACCGTTTTTTTCCTTCGTCCCTCTCGTGCGTCGTGATTTCCGATCCGATAGTACTATCTGTGATTGCTTCTCAGGTGAGGATTATCGATCCGTCATCTAATTTTCCCTCGGGCAGGAGAGGAACGAGATCGCGGCCCTTCTTCCATCCGAGTTAGCTCGTTAGATTCGAAATGGGAGCACCGTTTCGGCAATCTCTAGCCCGACTCGCCCTCGGCTCTGTGTCAACTTTTTTACGATCGCTAAGCCCGACTTGCCTACGAGATTCGGTACCGCGACCGTGGATTAATATTTTCGGCTCTCGGGTGTTATAAACGTGGAATTTCGACATTTATAGGGCAATATTTCTTCCGACATCAGAAAAGGCCGTCGTCGAGAAGAAACATTTACCCTAGAAATGCTCCACATTCCACGATAAGAGTATCGACTCGAAACGGAAGAATGCCGTACTTAGAAATTAACAAGATTATCTAGAATCGTGCGAACAAACGAAGTAACCGATCAGGCTTAACCGGATATAACAATCTGGCGAATTATCGATTCATGTCACTTCAAAGATAATTACGTCGACAAATTGTAAATACGTTTTGTCGCTGATAGGTTAACGTCCATTTTTGCTTCGCACGATCCGTGTAACGTACGGCCCGTCTTCTGCGTCGATGTACTCGCAATTGAGCTGGATTGTACGTTCCAGAGAGTTCCTCCGTCGAATTTACGCATACTCTGCCTTAAGTGACTCGTCGGGCGAGATAGGATTATCAAATTATCTCGCTTTCGGAACGTTCCATTGACGGGGTCAGAGAGAATTTACCTCTTTTTTCCGGGCACGGCATCGCTCCGTTCCTCTCCTGTGTCCACAGCATCCGGTCGACCAAGCAAAGCCGAATTAAATCGTGCTTCGGGAGGAAGTTACGGACAGGGTCGGCGATAATTTGCGATAATCTCCCAGGATATCCAATGACTCCCCCTGACTCATGCTCGAGAAGGATGGGTTCAGTGAACGGTAACGCGCAGAAATCCGCTGCGCCTGTTGAGTATCGAGTCACGACGTAAGTTCGTTCGGTTTTTTATTCGTTTCCTTAAAAAAAAGAAAGCCCATACTACGTCGGGACATTTATCGGAAAAATCGACCATGGACGGAGCGTTCTCCCCGGGCGACGATCTTCTGGACCCCGATTTCGGAGGAAGTCGAGATGGAATTATCCAAGGAAAGCTCGGCTATCGAATTTCGAAAATTCTAGAATTTCGATAGGTCCCAGTCCGTCGGACTCTCCGAAGACACGCTACCCGACCGATAGCTTGCTTAGGTCGAAACGAATATTCCTCCTCGACGTTTCTTACCCTTTGTTCGCCGGTTGTCGACTCGCAGCTCGAGATTGGACTCGTCGGCGATGCGGGGGTGGTGGTCAGGGGACATCGCGGTCGGTCCGGGTGCCCATTCTCTCTTCCTTGCCCGACCGCAGGAGCGAGAGAGCCCCGACTTCAGGAAACGGCGGAGGTCATCCGCCCGCGAATCTCGAGGTCCTCCTCCCACGTTCGCTTTGGCGAAGCGAATTCTGGTCGCGAGATCGCGCCGCGGCCAAATCTCGCGATTTCCAAAGTACGCTCCTAGAGGCACTTTGACCCCCATCTCCCTCTGGATCGCGGTCGATCGCGGGGTAAACTCGCACGACTCGCATGGAATGTTCCGGAATGCCGGGTGGTCGGCGCGATCTAGTCGGCCAATCGAAGCAAGAGTCTTGGACGTGCGCGCGTCAATTTCGATAGGTCCTAGTGATCGTGGAGGGGCGCTGGGTGGTCCTCTAGTCACAGGAATTTTCACGAACATCGTTTCCGACGTAATCGAATCGCGAGGTCGTCCAGTCGCGTGGCGAGACCTCGAGGAATGGCCGCTCCCCCCGGATCTAGGGGACGCCCAGCCGGTTTTTCGCGTTTGTTTATATCGCGATCCATTCCGCGTTTCGAAGATGTTCGGGCCCTAGAATTCCAGGAAACGCTTCGAACTGTTACCGGATGACGAAATACGCGCGGTCAGCGACAGCCGATGCGGATCTCGGTCGTGAATCATGGAGAGTGGATAGCCATCGGGTTATGAAGTAATGACCGGTGGGTTATAAGATAATTAAAGTAAATACGATATCCGGGGTGGGTTGAGAACAAACTTTAGATATAACGAAAATTTGTTAGAATCTGCATCGAAATGTTGAGACGAATATTTGCCCGTAAATAACGATCAATTGATTATTGTTCCATCGATGTGTTACGTACGTGTAGATTTTGCGCGTGTTGACTTTTTTTATTTTATCGTTGTGAATTAACTTACGATCACCTTACTTGATCTTGCGATGCGATTTCGATATCCTTCCAGACACGATAAATCATGCTCCCGCAAAGATGATTGCGATCTAGATTTTACCAATCACGTGTTGCGGTAATAACGCGAACAAAAATTAGGGATTTATTCAAGATACGATAGCATACGCGGACGAATTGGGTTATGTTTAGAAAACTTGTCTTTACTTTTTTCGTAGACGTCCCTGCATCGATCGAACGTATTACACCGTTAAATATGTTGCAGGGCGCACCCTCGCGATTAAAAATTGTCTTTCTACATCGAGGTGGCAGCGAGTTTTCCGACCGGTGTCGGAGGCTTTGCATGTCCTCGAGATATTTCTTCGCTCTTCGTCGCGTTAATGGTACCGTTTAGCGAATCGACGTTAACCGTTCCCCTTCTCTTCCTTTTGTACATGTATCGTACATATAACGAGCATACGTACATGTGCTTACTCGTCTTGAAAATTTCAAATTGAAAATAACATTGTAAGTATAGGATGATTTTCACGATCATCTAATGGAAATTGGAAGTTATTGAATTGTTGATACGTTAATATTTACTGCGACTCCATTGAATTAACATAAAACTTCAACGTTTGTTCACGCAAGTGCGTAACGTAACAAACTACACGAAAGAATTTCTTTCATTTCTAAGTATTAAACGTACTAATAAATTTTTCCTACTTATGCTGTTAAATAGACACGTACATATATACATACACACAATCACATATTTAAATACATGAATGTATGTATTGTGAATTCATACATGCAAATTTAAATTTAATATTCTTGAATGTAATAAAAAGGTAAAATAGATTTTTCTTATTTGCACCCATTAGTTTTAACTTCTCAGTTCCATCCAAACTCGATATCTTCGATCTTGATGTTTAATCCTTCCAATGAAGTGTCAATTGGACTGTCATCGAATCCATCCTCCATCTCGATTTGCTATTAAATAATGTTCATTCGTAAAAGATAATTTGGTAAAATCAATTTTATCATTTTATATTATTTGAGAATATAAAAAATATTAGTCCTTTACCTGTAAGGCAGCTAATTGATTAGGATCACCAACGAGTAGGATCTGCGTTTCGTTATCATTTGAATCTTCCATCAGTTCAGAAATCTGATACTGTCTGTCTTTCCCTACCATGATCTATTGCGACAAAAATTACTTTAAAAAAAAACATGCACCGTATAATAGATACAGCGCATTATGTGGAATTTATGTATATGACATATTTAGACATGTACAAACGTACGAACATTTGGTTTGGAAGTATTACTTTTCCGTTTTCCTTTATTTGTAACAGGTATTTCCCTAGAGTCTTGTAGAAAAACATCAATCCCATCGTCGCTCTCAACTAAAGCGTGAGCCGTTCTCTTGTGCATTACAAGTGTGCTACTTTGTCGATATTTTCTAAAACACAGTTTGCATTCGAATGGCCTTTGTTGGGTATGGACCTGAAATAAATATTTGACTTTACACATAAGCCATTTCAAAAGACTACTTTTCATTCGATAACCTTTCACTTACTAAATGATGTTTATATAGACTAGAGTATTCCGTGAATCTACGTCCACAGTTTTCTATAGAACACACGTAAGGTTTTTCACCCGAATGGATTCTTATGTGATTCTTGTAATTTGTTGCGCTAGCGAATGACTTCCCACACTTTGGTTGCGTACATTTGTATGGACGTTCGCCAGTATGGGTACGTACATGCACCTAGAAAAAATTTGAAATCACACGTACTATATAAGAAGTTATTTATAATGAATGTGTCAACTAAAGCGAGAGTATGCAAAATGGCTCTAATACCTTCCTAATGTTACTCGTCGTAAAAGATCGGCCACAACCATCGAATGGGCAAATGAAGGGACGCTCACCCGTATGGGTTCTAACATGTTTTAACAAATCACCAGATGTCTTAAAACTTTTATTGCAAGATTCTGTAGGGCATTTATACGGTTTTTCGCCAGTATGTGTGCGTAAATGAGCTTTCAGGCTGTAACCAGTTGAGAAACTTTTTTTGCACTTGGGATGGGAGCATCTGTAAGGCCGCTGACCTGTGTGAGATCGTTCATGAACCTGCAATTGAAAACATCACTTTAATTTAATTGTCTTAAATACCATTCTTAAATGTCAATTTAAGAACCTTTAAATGATGTAAAGTGCTGTAAACTTTTGTACAGCCCTCTCTTGGACATGGATGCTGATTTCTCGACTTGGGTTCAGTTAACTTGTTTATCACAATTTTTGCATCCTTCTTCTTCAGTTTACCATCTTTAATTTCCCACAATTCATTGTTTACGTCTACATGTCCAGTTATCATGTATGTAGTTCCGTTAACAAATTCTACTTGAGAATATGTATCCTCCGCATTTTGTGTGTCTGGATCCGTAGTTTGCACAAAAGTTGCATGATCCAGTTCAAGTTGAAGCGTCTTCCCATCCGTCAAATCGGATAAACCTCGAAGCAAAATAGTGCCTCCATTTTGTAATTCTAACGCCGGCTCGTCTTTGTATTCGGAATCTAAATAAAACAGAAAAACTAGAATATGCTGCCATGAAATCGTAACACTTAGCCGACTAAACGGGGAGATCTCTCCGTTTGGTCTGCTAAGTGTTTATAGCTTACCTACCATTGGCTCCAAAATTATTCGTAACAAAGGCTTGGGTGCCATCCGGTAGGGTTATAGCCGTAAGAGTAGTGCCGAGCATTTGTTCATCGAGTATCACTTCTTGCACTTCTGCATTGTTTACCTCATCTTCATCTACCATAACAGAAAGACATTCTAGAATATCACCAGAACCTTCCTGTGGATAAAAAACATATAACTTAAACCCAAAGTATATGGGAGTCGTCGATCAAAGTTTTACCGATATTAAATAATAAAACGCAATTCCTCACCTCCAAACTGTGCAGTAGGGCAAAATCTTCATGTGCCAAGGAATTATCTGCAACATCTACATCTTGTGCTGACATACTTGAGTGCTAGCGCACCACTGTAAAACAATGCAACCCTTTTAACTAATCTTTTCCAAAATGAAGATAAACATAATATTTCGCTTTGTGAACGACATATAAACAAATCCACTCGAGCGTCTTATCGAGGTTGCACAGTGTCCGGAGTGACGTTATCAAGAATGTAGCGCAAGATAAAAAATATTTAGAGGTTATTTTTATCACAACGTGGATCCCTTTTGACAGGCCTTGAAGAAATTTCGTTCGAGCTTTCCTCAAGTTCTCGATTCCCCGAAATAATTTTGCGATCGCACAAAGCAGGAACAGTACCGATCCGCTAAAGTTTCTCAAGGAGGTTGAAACTCTCCTCGGCGGATGAAATTAATCTCACGGGGAAGATCGCCATTTTCATTGGCCGGTATATCAACTGAACGGAGAAATTCGGAAGACGCTCGGCGTCCAGACGCCGTTCTCGAATCCCACGGCATTCAACGCGCGTCTCGGCATTCAACGAGTCAACGCGATTCCCTTGGACCACTTAAAATTTCGATACATCGCGAGCAACGTTCAAAGAATCTTGGGAAATATTACCCATAAACTCGACTCCCGCGGAATCGGCCCGTAACCACCACGAGTGAACCGGGATAAATTCCACCAGATAGCGTCCGTGGCGCGTCGGCTAGATCGCCGCCATTTTGGCGACCGAGAGAGGTTAGCGGACGACGCGCTCGAGCGCGCTATTTTCAAATACCTCTCGACCAGCACGAAAAGCGTTCGCGAATGATAGCTGCAAGCAGATACCGAGAAAAAAAGGAAAAGCCTATCAGCTCGTAACGAGGGTTCTGGTCGGCAACTGAATTCCATTATACAGATTTTATCTAAAATTGACGATTAGCGTAAGAGAACCTGTTTCCGCCGTTCGAAATTCTGACCCGTAACTCCGATTGTGATCTAGGTTTCGCAAGCCTCCTTCTGATAGCAGCTTTCATCGTGTTTGAGTCATCGAGGACATGTCCGAAATGAAAGTCCTGTCGCGTGTGCGACCTCGCGATGGGCCCTCGGAGTCTTCGCTGAAAGACCCAGGTGGGGTACCTACCTCGAGAAGGGGGATGCTGGATTTCAATGCATCGCGACATTCTCCCAAGACTTGCGAACTAGATCGGTTCATAATCCAGTGCAACCCGCCTCGGTACAGAGCCTATCAGAAATCGATCGAAGAGCGGATCGACGAGAGGTCACAGGAGTGCTGGACCCCGAAACTAGTCCGGCCTTTTTAATGGTGCACGAAATCAACGGACATCATTGACGCGTCACCTTCGCTGCAGCGATATGTCGATGGTGAGTCTTGCACTCGGTATTTACCCCGTAATTACTCGCTCTTGAGGACATCGAGCGCGATAAACGTGACTTAACTTTTCTACTTTCTGTTTGATAGCGATTAAGGAGCTTTGTTGAACGGCCAAGAATTTGGAGAATCTTTCATCCGAACAAGTTGACTTATCGGGGTATATCATTGAAAAAAATGGCAGGTTTACGGAATACGAGGTCATCGGAAAATCGACTAACCCGGGGTTCTGGCATTTGTGGGTAATCGCGGATTTTCCAAAGCGTAGCTCTTGCACCAAAGTTTTCAAACTCGTGCGTTGACGCCGAGCGGCATAGAGTCGCCCATCCGCGTATTTCATGGTGGCGAAACCGCGAGCATAATCCGCGTATCGAACCGCTGTTACGCTTCAATGGGCAAGCGAGTTCACGCTATATGTACTCTCGGAGAATGCGACTTGCGCGTATCTCTTGTATTTTTCGTTTTCTATTTGTTTTTTGTCTTATCCGTGCGTGCAACGATCCGTGTTAAACGAATCGAGGGAACCCGATTCTCCAGACATCTCGGGAAAAAAATGTCCTCCCAGTTTCACCTCCTTCGTAACGTTATCGATTTTTGACAACGGCATCGATATCGGTGAAAGTGGCCCGAGATAATTTCAAATTTACGTATTCATTTTCACTTTCCACGGAGCAAAGGGGTCTTTACGTTTCCCGTGCAATTATTGTCGGATCACCTTGCTGTCTCGGGAATAAAAGGTGCGAGATAACGGGTCGATGTTCTTATCGGGATGCTCGATTTACCCTGTCACGGAAGGTGGGATAAAACTCATCCTGCTTACTTGGAAAATTAAATATCAAGGAAAATAACGAAGCATTTAACGGGATCGTTTACAAATACTTGATTCCGATTTAATATCTTCCCCTGAAATATAGGTATACACTTGGTAGCCGAGAGATCAGGTGTTCTCCTGCGATGCACCGCAGGATGCAGTCACATGACTCCCATGCAACGCTCAGACCCTGACGTCTCGTGACTGTTGCGTCACGAGTAACTTCGATAAATTTAAAGTAAATCTCGTTGGGGCAACTTGGCCAATTCGCCGAGCGTGCTTCGTCATTATTCACCCACACGTTTTACCGCGCATCTGGGTGCGCTCTGGTTTTCTGCATTTCCTGCAACGGTGTGCACAGCGGAGCACGTGGTTCCTTCGATTCCGTGGCTCGATCGCGAATTATTTCGAAATGACCGAGAGATTATCGTTACATTTTAAGTCCTATATTGTATCGTATTTATATCAGAAATTCACTCGGAGCGTTACATCAGGGCGGCGTTACGAAATCGAGCGCGTTCGGTAAAAGATGCGCCGGGCCCTCTTATTAGTTACCTTGCATTAAGTTATCAAGAACGGCCGATATTGCCATATTTATTCCCCGTAATGACAGGGCACGAGCGGAATAACGACGCGGAGCTATTTAGTCGCATGCCGACAATGATCCGTATGCTAATTTTCTCCGACGAGAAGTAATTAATAGTTAGTCGCGGGTGCAATCGCGATTCGATCCTCTCGTGATCCTGGAAGTGCACTGGATGCATTTTATGCATCCGTAAGTACGCCGATTACTCGGGATACAAATGTAATCGCGACATTGAGACGAGCCATGAGCGATCGAATCGACATAGTTAACCTCAAGGTTTCTTGATTAAAAGATTAAATTAGGTCTAGAGTTCCCTTTAATTTCTTACTTTCAAATGGAATCACGCGACACGTAAATTGCTCGCTTGGAGCGTGTCATCGCCACCGCGGGTCTTTAATCCTGATAGTCCTGATAAATTGAGAAAATGTTATCCTGTCTTCCTTGACCTACAATCGCCAGATGTCCGGCAGGATTCCTGCCCGTCCGGTCGAAACAAGAACAAGAAAGTTAGAACTTGAAAGAATTCGCCCGAAAACTAGTTCAATGTCGCTACATCCGCAAATTCCATCCGATCACGCCTTCGGGCTCGTAAAGATATTTTATCGTGATTACGTCAGGGGGACCTTCTAATTAGAAGGTTACTATATCTCCGTGCTGGCCGAAAGTCTTTCCACCTGTGCTGCGGGAATCATTTTTTTATTAAAATAGTGCAACGCACCCGACGAGCCGGATCGAATTGAACATTGGCACTTGATGTTTCATAATCTCAAGCTGGAAGTTAATTCGATATATCGATAGGTTTAGATAACTGGATTAAATACCACAAAACCGCAAAAAATTCACTATGCAACGGTGTCGCAGAGGTACGAGTTGATTGAGTTTTCATTCACCCGTGCTCTCCTTTTTTGGGATTTTCTTTACGTGAATTGTAAATGCGCTTTTATACCCGCATCTTAAACCATTTTTTGGTAGTTCCTACGTTGGAAAAGTATTGAAAATATTTTTTTTTCCATTGTATTCCAGTTGAAACTCCTAGGACTGCTTCTACCGATAGCGGTTACAACAGCCGCACCCCTCTCCAGCGTTCATGTGAAATTTGTCTCGCCTCCTCATACGTATGAACACGGTCTTACTACGGATGGTAAGTCGTCGAATATTTATCGTAAATCCTTTATTCGGACGTTAACTTCCTTTAATGATCTTTCTTCGTTTAAAACAATCTTTAGGAGGAAATACGATTGCCCAGAAGTCCTTCCTCTCGATCGGTAGAAGGGACCCTGCCAAATATTCCGGGGAATTCGGTATCGTGATGTTTCTACATAAATAACTAAAATTTAAAGATTTTATTCAAGTAATCTCTTAATGGAAATTTTAGGGAATTTATCCGATAATAGAAAACTATTACTGCGCTAGTAATCTCGCTGACGTTCTGCTTTAGGAAAACGAATACAGGAACGACAGGGTGTCTTCGGACATCAACGGGTGGTGACGCCAGAAAATGCTGAATCCTTGTGGCCAACGGGTCTTTTTCTCCCTCCTATAGATATCAACGATCTTGGCTACAGTTCTCAGGACACCGGAAAACATATGACTCCTGACTTCTCAAACGGCCTAGGTATAGTCGGACGGCTTCAAATAGTCCAGCTCAGTGAAACGAATTTATATCAATGTACCCCATAAATTGTTTATACATTTCAGAGCACCCTGACCCTTTACTCTTGACAGGAGAGCAAGCTATGTTAGCGGTGAAATATATTTATGGACGTGGTGAACTCTTTTATAACGATTTTCCTCATGTCAGGGCATTGCTCAGAAACCAGGACGAAAGGTTGGCAAACGGTCTACACGGGCACATTCTGAGCAGTTTAAGACCGCAATCCCCGTTTTATCGAAAAATCAAACCAGAAGAATAATTTTTGTACCATATATTATAAGCAAAAATATCATAATCACTCTCTGCCAACACTCGTAATCGTTATCACGTATGTAAAATAGTTGAAACGTACTACACAGGACGACACAGTGAAAAACGTGCTGCCTCCTTGAGTGAAAACATAAAAGTAAGGCGTACAAAAATAGAATAATATGACATTTTTTTATTTCTATAAGTGGGATCATGAAAAAAAGATAAAAAGTACGAAATTTTTATTTGCAGTTCCTCTGATTTTAGTGGATTTTGTTATCGGTTTGCTGTTATTTAATCTCAGCAACCTAATTGTCTGTAATTATTTTGTGGTATTATTTACAAAAGTTCACAGTCTTATTACAGTTCTTGTGCTCCTCGATGTTGAAGTATCGACGATCAACCCGAGTTGAGCCATTTTACGATTGTCATAATTTTCATCCAAAGTTTGATTCATACAAACCATTGCATCAAAATGCTAAGTATCACAAAAATTAAACCTGTCGATGGAGTAACGAAGCTCGACCCGTTACATAGATCACCCATGCAAAAACACATGTATACTTTTTTATTCATCCATTTTGTGTACGCACATCTTTCTTCTCCATCATCGGGTCCTCTTTGTAGGCACATTCTTTGAGTAGCAGTCCCATATTCTGAAATTTAGATACAATGAATTTGACTACATACGTCTATACATAATTTTGACTCCTCTCTCATCATAGGAAACAAAAGAGCAATAACGGAATGCTTATACCCACATGTGAAAGTAATCTTGCAAAGAAAAATCTTATGACTCATCGGGGACACTGTGCAAATGTGGAATACTTCTGTACATTCGATAAGAAGCTCTTTAGAAGGTACAACATGTAAATGTTAAGTGGGTATCTTGATTAATGTTGAAAAATCTTTTAAAATTGATTTTTATATAAGATAGTATGATAAATAACAGTACAAACCATTATTGAGATTTTGGCTCTCGATTATCTTTCCGCACCACCCCGAAGCACATGGTACAGCTTCCACACCCTTTTCTTCCTGAATTTGTGTTGAATTCATTGTAAAAGGATCTTTGCAAGATCCTAATTCTCCTCTCGATCTACATTCCACGCATCTTTTTAGTAACCCTGTAAAATTGTAAAGAAATTGTCTATTATCGATATCCAAACGCTCTTTAATTAATGTGATCGAACACAAAACTGAAATGTGCCGTATGCGCGGGAGGAAGATCCGGGAATTAAGGAATGCAAGTAGACCTTAAATCAAGGTGATCGCGCTAGTGAAAGCGACGCTTTAACGACGCGTACGAAAAGACTCACCGTTCGCAGTTTGTACTGAAAATAGCAAGCAAAGTACCGCGGTGAACACTGGAGTAATACTGGCCGAATTCATTGCTTATTTCTCAGCTATGTTCCTTGGAAACTGAGGGACGACACTCATCGGCGAACAACCTTCTTGAAATGCCGAACTCTTCACAATAGACCGTCCTTTCACTTCTTAACTTCTTGAGCGCTATGGACGCAACATATAGCCGCAAACGTGTCACTATAGGCCGTAGCCACGAGGTTATCGAAAAATGGTTTCTACCGGGTAGAGTACGGTCGCTTTTGCTCGTTCGACAAGAAAAAACGGACGAACACTTCGTCCATTGCAATTTTTAAGGTATGCCGCGGATCAATCGTCATTTCTGAACTCACGTTTTTGGAGCGCTCAACAATCAACAGCAAGGCCAACGAATTGAAAGATAACAGACAGAAAGTAACAAAGTATGTGTGTACAACCGCGCGGCTATCAAAAATGTCAACGATAACGTAAACTTTAAGTGCGACACTACCGCCTACATTGCTGCGGACGTTAATGGTATCTGATACGTTATTCGAGAAGTGCAACACAGTACTCAATACCACATTTTATGCGATTTACTTTTCGAAAAACTACTTGAACGTCTCATTTATTAAGTATTCACATGGTATAAATTACGCTTTGTTTGTAAAAAATGTTTTCTTTTGCATTTCACGAGCCTCGATCTCCTTATAATCTTTAATCTTAAACTTATCCCTCTCTTTGCAAACAATGATCAGTCCTCCGCAGTAACAGAATGAGCTGAGTAGGAATATGAATCCTAAGTAACCCATATGTCGTAAGAAAGCTGCAAATTGAAGAAAATATTAATGTTAGTAAAAATTCCTTTGGATAATGGTCGAATTGAAAGCAATTAGCAGATGTGTCGTGAGATGTCGCTCTCATCTGCAGACTTTAGTGTCTCCTGTTGCCGTCAGATGGCTTACAAGTTGATCTAAGTTTCTCGCTAGTTGTAAATATTAGAATTGTCTGAATATAAAGGAATTTGAACGATTTCCTGATGTACTTGCTTCGGCAGTACATATACTAAAATTGGAACGATACAGAGAAGATTAGCATGGCCCCTGCGCAAGGATGACACGCAAAATCGTGAAGCGTTCCACATTTTTTGCAATATCTATGATCAAAAAGGAGAAAAATAAAATTGTGATTTCGCGAAGTTTATTTACTGGTTTGATAATAAGAATAATTTTGAATTTTATTAAGTAAAGTAGGTATAAAAACTCAAAGCAATGGCGTTATAGCGACGACGTAGATTGATAATTAATATCGTCTCGTTGCTTACCTTGAGTTAGTAATAAAGATTTGGACACTACAATGATTTTCACTTCCATCATGTTGATTGTTTCAACGTAACAGGTATAATTGCCTTCCTCTGCGTTTGAAACACCTGAAAGATTACTTTGATTGATTTAATTATTTAACCGTTAAATGTAATGTGTTATACACGTAAGTGTAAATGTGAAATTTGAATTTCATCTCTTATAGTTACCTATAAGATACAATGTAGCAAATGTGTCTACCAGGACGCTGGGTTCGGAGTCCTTTTCTCGAAATGATCGTCCTATTCCTTTATGCAAGACAAGTCCGTCTTTTTTCCAAATTACTTGCGTTTCCAAGTTTGACCTGCCAAATTAATTAGAAAAGAATAAATTCTCTCTTCTGAATGTATTTAAACATTCCGACCTTACTGATCTATTCGAGTTTTTAATTAATCATTTACGTAGTTACATTTACTGACGAAATATGAATTGTCATTACTCTGGACACGTTATTGTAAGATGGGCTCCTTCGGCTAGAACATATCTTTTCTTATATTTAAATTTACTGTTTTTTGTTTTCTTAACTCGTGGACAATTTTTGCACGAGGTTTCTAAGATAAACTCAGGTAAATATCTCGTAGCTCTACTCACTGCAGGGAACGATTCGTCGAGAAGTCTTGATCTAAAATGAATAATGAGCAACAAATTCTCAGTCCTCAAAATATTTATCAAAGTCAAGTCTTTATACCTGCAAGGTAGCAAGGGTGACATCAAAAGTAATTTAATTCTTGACAAAGTATTATTCAGTGTACTTTTCTGCAATGATATTACACATTAATAACTAAAATTGGAAAATAAATGAAACAGGTCAAGAATTTATTTTTAATACACTCAGGCTATTAGTTCACTTTTTAGCTTTATGTACATTTTTTATTTATCAACAAAATTTGCCGTCCTCTATGCAGAGTAGTGGAGTATATACCTATCATTAGAAATGACTGAGAAGTGAACGTCGTACCCTGGGTATTACATATAATTTATTTGACTCTGAATAAATACATTAACTGGTCGACTCTTCACTCTGCAATTAGCTCGGCTTGTTTTAAATCCTCGACGGTGAATGCACCGTTCACAGACACTCCATGGACCCCATTCAGAAACTGCTTCCAAAATAACGCCTGCTTCACGAATTTCACGAAGTCCTGACATTCTTGAAACCTAGAATTAATTATCTAACAGTAAACATTTCATCAAACTAAGAACAATTAGTGGCATTTTGCTTTTAAACATATATTAATGTTATAAAGTTTCTTTGGGGATTCTTATACTTACAGCAAAACGAGTAGTAACAGGAACTAAATTAACTTCACGATAATTTTCCCAATCCGATAGATTTCCTTTTTGAGATAAAGTGTTGCTCTCATCTTTATAAACCGCTACACAGTACGAAAAGACAGTTATCCATAAATTTATAAATAACTATTAATAATGTAGCATTTCACAAACTAAGTTTTGGACAGTGCCTAACTGAACAATAGCAATAAACATAAGTAAGTTACGCTCAAGCCTGTAATTAAATTTATATTCTTCCTCTTGTCCTTCATTTCCGCGACAGCGATAAATTCCAGCATCGGAGTTGTCAAAATCTTTTATAACTAATGACAATTGTGGATTAAGATAAACCCTGTTGAACGATATATTGTTCGTTTCTAATTCAATTTGTTTTTCGGGCATTGATCGAAACCGATCTTGAAAGTACCACATTTTTGTCTGATTATCATCTTGGTCCCGGCTGAAAGAAGACATGGATGTTTTAATAATTTGTATTTCAATAGAATTAGAGACGTACAGACTCTTAAACATTGAATAATATATCTACAACTAACCTATGTCCATGTAGCATTTTTTTTAATCGAATTCACTTACCAGAAGTGACATTCAAGCAAAATAGTTGTGTTTACTTCTGCATCCACTAGGAGATATTCGTCGATATCTTCTGACGAGATCAATCTATTTTTCTCTCTGCAATATTTATTAATTTCCGGACTAACATCCGTGGAAATCGCAAGAAAAATATTAACCGCATTTATTATTAAAGGTAATAAGGTACACATGACTGAAATGCAACGTTGCGAAATTGCACTTAGCGACAATGCACATGTCCCCGTAAAATGTTATGTTTCTGTAATTCCATTTCCTGCGTTTTTAAATGTTGTCTGGATTATGATCGGGTAGTGGACCCAATTTCATATAGACGTCCCCTACGTTTGAAAAGCGTGAACGACGCGCCATTTCTCGGAAGCAAGGAACGCGTGGAACAGGAGCGTTTACGTGGGAAGTCGAAAGGAGGAAGTATTTGGCGGAAACACGTACCCATGATGCATCAGAGAACGTCAACATGGCGGACACGATTGAAAGTGAGTAAGATTCTCTTAATATTTCATAGAATTAAGTCAATGAAAAGTGCGTAAAAGTTGAAAGGGACGAACTGAGAGGGTATTAAATATCGCCCCGCGTTCGATTTCCCCGCGAGGTGGCTGTGTAGACATTTTACACGACCGCGCTTTGCTTTTGAACGGGACACGGTCGGAATGGGTTTAAAATTTCAAAAATGACCAATGTACAATTCAAGCGGGACGGGTAGTCCTTTCGCGAAGATTTTCGATTTTTCGAGCGGTCCTTTCGGAGTACAAGATTTTACGAATGACTCGTCGCGTTGGAATTGAGAAACGTCGTACCCTCGAACTCAGTGCGAGTGTGAGGTGCAAGGAACCTGTTTACACGAATTGCTTGATGTTTGGTTATGTCGGGACTCAAAAATGGGAACTTGGATATGCACGAATTCACCGTTGATTTCATAGAATTCCTTTATTTCCAAGGAGTAACAAGGGCTTTCGATTGCCTATAATGGATTGTATGTTTTCTAGTCATTTTGTGTACATAACCTTGTTGTTTCTAATTAAATTCTATAATCTGTAGCAAAATTATCTGAAGGAAAGATTGAAGTGCAAGTTAAATAGTTAAGAATTGCCTATGTGGAATGAAATTTTCTTTTTGACATAAATTAACGAAGTACCTCCGTTAAAACTCATTGTTCTGTCACAATCGTCATGGTGATTCAAAAAACTATTATATTTTGGAACTCACTTCTGAATTTGCAAACCCGAAAGAAGTTCTAGTGTATTATTAGTTTTACTAATTGGTATACAGACTTGACACAACAAGGTGACATAATTACTTTCTTTTCACTGCTGACAGATTGATAGTGTAACATCGTATCTTTTAGCTTCTCGCTTAATTTCAAGTATTTAGAGGACACTCAACCAAAAACGGTTATTTTGTATGAATGTTGAATCGATGCTTTCCCACTGTAATAATATAATTATGTAACGCTATAGGAACAATATCGCGATGTTTGTTTTCCCTGGTAAACGTTATTTCAACAGAAAAAAATACAGTATATTGCCTTGTTGAAGTAATACATTTATATCTAATTTTGTAGATGAATCAGCAGAAACACTGCTGTCCATTAAAAATGGGGGTTATCCGAGCGTGGATGAAATCAAGACCGAAATTGATGACGACGAAATGATGGATGCCGACGAACGACCTGTTTCTAATCATTCGCTAGATATGGATACCGAAGACTCGGAACCGATGCCAGAACTTGGGCCAGCTGCTCTGGGTTTGCAAAGGGTAGGCACTCAGCCTCCACCTAAACCAAATCCACCCACACAACCGGTTCAAGTTCTGAATCGTAGAGGAATGCCAGCCAGGATACGGAAAAAGAATAAATTGTTTTATGATGATATTTTAGTTAATCATCCTCATCACAGGTAATTGGCAGCATATTTTGAACATTTTTTTAAGTAATCCTATTAATGATAAACATAATCAATGTTGTTTTTTCTATTGGCAGAATAAAAAAGGATCCCAATAATCCAGAAATGAAACAGTCTCCAAAGAAGATTTCTAAACCATCGCCTATTAAGAAACCGATTAAGTCAATCATCGAACCCCAGAAAAGGAATAGCATTCAGTCCCAATCGTCTACTCCTGTTATTACGCCGATTAAAGAAGAAAAAGAACAAGAAAAATCTTCGCATCCATCTTCACCTGACCGAAAAATTGGTCAGAAAATTGGGATGCGACTGAGAAATTTGTTGAAATTACCAAAAGCTCATAAATGGGTTTGTTATGAGTGGTTTTACAGTAACATTGACAAGTAAGAATATAAACAGTTCTTTTTATTGCATTCACGTCAATGCATAGTTAAAAGAAACCATGCAAGTGAGAATTTTAGGATGCTGATTTAATTTTCTTTATTTCAAAGAAAATTGAAGTTATCTGTTTTTGCAGGACCTTGTTCGAAGGTGATAATGATTTCATGATATGTCTAAAGGAATCGTTTCCTCAATTAAAAACGCGGAAATTAACTCGCGTAGAGTGGTGTAAAATACGGAGAATGATGGGTAAACCTAGACGGTGTTCACAGTCATTTTTCGAAGAAGAGAGGCGAGAACTTGAAAGAAAGAGGCAAAAGATTAGAATGCTTCAACAAAGAAAAACGTCGGATGTTAACACGTTCAAAGATTTACCGCCAGAAATACCATTACAATTGGTAATTGGAACAAAGGTTACGGCAAGATTACGGAAACCGCAAGATGGACTTTTTACAGGAAGTATAGATGCAGTCGATACAAGTAATAATACATACAGAATAACTTTTGAAAGAGCTGGGCTTGGTACACACAGTGTACCTGATTACGAAGTGTTGGTAAGCTGATTACGTTCAATGTCCATTACTTCTCCCGACGATATGAATGTACAAACCTAATAATCTACCTTTTCAGTCAAATGAATCGCCGGAAACAATTAGCGTAGCTTCTTTTGCACAAAAGTTCAGACCCCGTCGTGTGCAATATGTGCCTTCACCTCCTTATGCGATGAAACTCATGTCTCCACGTTTGAACAGTGATCCGCTAATATCCAATGCTTCTGTAGCTATTCCAAAAAAATCTCACATTGGTGTCACCATTCATGGTTACCCCTTGAAGCTACTCGAGTTCATGGTAAAAGTAAGTAAAATACTTGCTGCTAAGAAAATAAAAATTAAGAAATTGAAGGAGATGAACAGCGAAGCAGAAAGGAGAAGATCATTTGGGGAGCCATTGCCATCTGATTTTGAAAAACGATATGCAAGGTATGCAAATCATCGTATATGTATATTAGCTCGTTTGTAACACAACAGCATAAGTGAGGCTTAAAGAATAACACAGTAATGGGTGTATTCATTTTTAATAACAGCATAGTGGTAGAATTGGAGCGGATGAACGTGGCTCTTCAGAATTTCTTGAACGACGTTCAAGAATTATGTCAGGAAATGGCCCCGGAACCAAGTGTGGCCGCTATGTTGGCTCCTTCTCACCTTCGTGAGAAATGTCGACAGGAAGCCGCCGAGATGGTTGCTAGGAATAACATGATCAATGAAAAAGAACCCAATAAAATGAATCAGCTTGTGATTGATCTTACGGCTCTAATGCTTCAAGTCAAAGTAAGTATTACATATAATTTCGTGCGATATTCTATATATATTTTAAATATACGCGATAAACAAGGATAAAATGTAATTGTCAAATAATAATATTTTATTGCAGAGTCTTTCTGATTCAGATCGAAATGCTTACGAATTGAAAGTTTTACAAGGAACGATGGAACAAATTCGATCAAAATTGAGTCCACAAAACCAATTAGTTTTCCAAAACAGTGTTGAAATACACATGCAGCATATTCAGTTAGGTTTAGGACAAATTGGTGCTTTAGCACCATTCATGGCTCAAAAGGTTTAATGATAAGGGTCAACGTCTACTGATGATTTAAAATGAATTCAAGAAGATAAAGTAATGAATTTGGAATCTTTTAAATTCATATAGTAGATTAATTGCAATTTTGTACAAAAAGATATAGTAATCATTGAGGATTACCCGTGTACTTTTGGGATTTACTGTAAAAGACTTGTACATATAAGGTAATTTCTTTTTAAATGTTGGTTTATTTAACCGGGTAGTTTGTCTAACCGGTGTCAACACTTGGTCTAATGTTAGTAGCGACTACATTGATATCGAAATCGCACTTTCAATTTATAGATTACGCACGGCTAATTGTCTCTAATAATATCCAGTTTTTCATCTGCCTATTGATAAAAGGAATTGAATAAGTAAAATGGAAAATAGTTTTAAGTTATCGAAATTCATTCATTATTATAAATGATGTATGTTTTATAGTGGTCTATTAATCAGTTCCAATTTTTTTTACCGTTATGTCCATTGGCATTGCACAACACTGAGAATGCATTACTATTTGCGGTTTGTACATTGCTCAATAGTATTTTTCACCACTAACTTAATTTGTAAATCGGATTATTTATACTCACTCACTGTTTAAAGCCTTGTTATGTATAAAACATGTATATGAATGTGACTCGATATTGCGCTGAAAGTAAAACTAGTCGAGTATTTTCATATATGTCTGAAAACAATACTAATCGGTTTAAGCGTAGGTTCCATGAAGAGTGAGTAAGTAGTTTAACGGTTGCTGTACAAAAATTAGCAACTGATCTTAAAGTTTAGAAAAGTGGAGATGTTAAACAAATATTGTACATTCTTAAATGTAATTGAGAGTTCATAATTTTAATGAACACTGGGATAATACATTATGAAAGAAATAAATATTATTGCTACATCAGAAGAGTTTGCAATTGTCTCATTGCATGTAAACACATTTGTTTTGTACTCACCGTTTAGGGTCCCGTTGAATCGTAAAAAGATCGATAGTATAAAAGGAATCAAGGTGTGAAGTAATTTAAATATTGGCTTCTGTAAGCTGAGAGTAATTTCTTGTAGACATTTTTATTTATATGCAGATTATCTAAGGTAGTCTTGACATTTTATTATTGATTACGTCCATTAATACCAAGTATAAGAGGAAATGTATTTTCCATACATCTACAATGCACAGGCACTCGCGCGTGGACACATGTGCTTCCATCGTAAGTAAAAAACGTTAAGCGAATAGTTTGATAAAATTTAAATTTCATGATTTTATATGAAATAAAAGTAAGGAAGTTTAGATGTCCGATAAGACACTGAGAACGAAAATTTTCAAGGCAAATAATTTCTTAAAATAAACTTCACAATCGAGTATTTTCTTTGCAGTGTGATAGAAATTGCACTGAATATACGTTCCTATACATGTACGTTTTAACAAAGTTATCGTAAAGTATTACTTCTACATAGTATAAAGTTAAATAAATTTATCGAAGGGAAAAATTATGATTTCATCTGCATTTAATCCGTTTCATGGAAATTTAATTGTAAATAGAAATTAATATTAATCGAAATTTTAAACCAACTTTGTCAATACTAGATCGTTTGAAAAATAAAAAATAAAAAATAGATTTGTCTAAATAATCAAAAACCATGTAATAAAAGAAATTTTTCAAGTTGCAACATTGATATGAAATCAGTGATTCAAAATATGATTTTTGCCTCTCGTGCCTCTCTTATGAACAGTTCATCTACCCAACTTTGTTCTTCATTTATTTGCTAATAGAATGTTCTTGTAAGATATTTAATCTGTTTGTTGCATTCTTTATGTATCTGAAGTAATTGATATCTTTCGTATATTTATTTTTTATGCTTTTCCAGTATTTCCAGCAGAGCATCCGCATCTTCTGTGGTTTTAACTCTTAATAAAACTAGAGTAGGAGGAGGCTGAGCGTCAGGTAATGGTAAACAAACCATCATCACGGAATTCCGGGTCATACGCTTCGTCGGAATATTTTCAGTCAAGAGAGTATTGATCAATAAATTTCCGAGCGAATCATTAGCGCGTACTATTAGTTGTGTCTTACCCTTAGGTGTGGGCTTTAAAAATAACGTTCCTACACCCTTGTCGCTATAGCTACTATCTTTTTTCACAAACACCTTACACCTGTAACATGGTTAAAGGACGAAGTAGAATCAATGATCGGTGAAAACCTCATTTAAATGCATACAATTGTTCTACCACTTCTCGTGTAACTACGTACCGTTGTTCATAAATTGCACCTTCTTCCGTGACTCGCTTGAATTCCGGTTTAGGGGGCTCTTCATCTTCCTCCTTGTCTTCGCTTTCTTTTACTTCTTCAGAATGTAAAGGCTGAATTACTTGAGATCCGAATGAAAAAGGTATGGAACTGTAACGGTTTAAATTCGTTTAAAAATAAGTAACACGAAGAAATTTTAATGCACTCATAATTTTAACATTTAAAATTCATTTATACCTTCCAAAGCTGAATCCAGCGGACGCTGTACTTGCAGCCGAGCTTTGACCGAAACTAAAAATTGATCCGACTTTGCTATTTTGAGATATATTACTTTGTTGCGATTTTTCTTCAGATTTTTGTGAATCAGTTTCTGGCTGATCTTCCGAACTGTTAGAAGGTTTGCTTAAAAATGGATTATTTTGAGGGTTCAAATTGCCGAATATACCTTTTCCATCACCGGTATTACCAAAAATTGATTTATTATTCGCACTGCCAAATATAGATGTCTCTACCTTCCATTGTGAGGATACCGAAGATGATTCCGTACCCGTATTTTTAAAGACAGGATTTTCAGACTTTGTTTCCTTACTTTCAGATGTTTCTTTTACATTGTTTTCATCGCTAGATTGTCTTATACTTTCTTTAACATTTTCTTCTTCTTCGCTGTGTCCACGTTCAGCTTCTATTTCATCTAAATATTTTTCATAATCCTTAAAGATGGGAGTCAGAATACAAAAAGGGTTCGAATCGACATGACTTTTAATCCATTGAGCTACGCTAACATTTAATCCTTTCAATTTTGCGTAATAAGTGGAGGATGTTTTAAAAATTCTTGTATTATCTTCTACGGATTCGGGAGTGACTCGATCTTGTTTTACGGGTGAACCCTCTTTTGACCGTAAATCTGTCTTTTTCTCTACCGAATCGGACGAACCATTGATCGTTACATTCTTATTTAAAATCATCTTTACAGCAGACTCGTTATCTTCATCTTTTTTCGCATTAGTTAAAAAACTAAACGGCGACGAATTTGAAGTAGCGGTTTTAAAACCTGTAAACGTTCCAAATGCATTTTTTTTCGTGCCCTGAAAAATTTGGTCAAACGTATTAACAAACGGATAGCCTTAATTTTATTCTTACAAAACCCGAAGAGCAGTAAGTATAAAAATTAAGTCTCACGTCGCTGTTCAGGGGTAACCTTCGCCGAGCCGCTTTGACGACTCTGTTTTCTAATACTTCTTTGGATGCTTTTCTAAAGGTACCCGCATCTTCGGTAGGCTCTTTGTTGTTCCAGTTCTCATGATTTAGATCATTGCCAGCTGTTCTTTTGCAAGCCATCTCTGTGAAAAAATGAAAGCTCCAAACATCAAACATCGCAGCAAAATTACATTTAAGGTATCGACGATGGTTAGGCCCCTCGGAACGTTAGACAAAACATTTGCATCTATCGTTCGTTCACGATACATTTAGTTCCAAACTGGGAACACGGTAACGTCAATGTTCACAAAAATAGCAGAATCTTATTTTAAAATACGATGTCCGAGAAAGTCATAGGTTAACCATTGGCTCTGTAACCTTATCCCGAGTACGGGGTCTTACGAGCTAAAGTCTTAATCGCTTGAATTTATTACCTATTACTGCCTCGTGGTGCCTCTTAAGGGTTCATACGGCAGCACCGATATGATAATTTTGCTGAAAAACTCGTACAACGATCTTCTACAACATCGACTTATTACGTGCGGCGACTGTCGTACGCAGGCGCGTAATCGCCCTCGGGAGGACCGCAGCGCGAGACCGCATGCGCGCAGCATTTGCGCCGACCGATCGCGGCACTTCGAATACAACGACGAGAGAACGCATCGTCGTAAACGAATTTCCAGGGTAAAACGTTACTTTTACATAAATACTCGTAACTACTTTGCGAAATTAACGCATCGTCTCATGGAGGGAGGTAAAGCAAAGTACATCGGGATCGATCGCGCAGGAAAGAACCGAATTCGCCCTCTCGCGTTCCACGCGCTGGATACGCAAGGTCGCTAGTTCCGGAGCGGTCGCGTAAATCGGACTTCATTGGTCCGAGGGCGCCACGGTCGCGGGCCGGTCGCGCGAAACATCTGCCTAGGAGAGAAGTCCCTTTCAGTCCCTTTCGCGTGCTTTCGCGGGCGGGCTTGGACGCGCGGCGGCCCGGCCCGACTTAACCTAGAAGCGCCGCGGCGATCCGGAGATTCGGCGCGCGCGGACCATTGGCCTGCGGGGAGGGGAAACGAGGGTCCCGCGGGACTCGGCAGGTCCTCGCCGGGCAGAAGCGCGTCGACGCTCGGCCCGAGCGAATCCTCTCGCGCGCGCGCGCCGCAAACTCGTGGGTGTCGGGCAAGTGTCGCGCAGTGCGCGCGCGCGCGCGCCAGCCGACGAGCCACCCGACGAGCCAGGCAGGCAGCTCGCGCCGCGCGCAGCCGGCCGGCCGGAATCCGGAGTATACCGGAGCGGCTCAGTGCGAGACTCGCCGCCGCCGTCGCCGCAGCTCCCGCGCCCGTACCTCGCGACCGCGGCGCGCAGCGACGCGCGCGCCGCCCGACCGACTCTCCTCCACCAAGTATGGAGATATCGAAGGCTCTCCAGGAGGAGATACTGTCCGTGCAAAACGATCTGAAGAACGCCATTCGCAGTCATCAGGTGAGCGACGCGAAGTCAACACCCCGGAAACCCTCGCGGGGTTTCCCCGCCGCCGAGAGGTTATGGCTCCGTCGACCCGGTCGCGACAGAGCCGAGGAAGAGATTCGTTTCGATCGCTCTCCGTGAAACGCCTCGTCGCCCCTCGTCCCTCGCCGAGTGGGTCCGATGGCCGCCTTTCTTCCCGGTTTGCCGACGGTTTGCCGCGAGGAAATTAATCGCTCCCTCTTTATTTCCGATACGTCCGTCGCCTCGGTCTCGCTCGGCGGCCGCGCTTCGGGAACCGTGACTCGCTGGCACGTAGGGCACGAGGCGCAAAAATAACGGTCATTATTTCCGTCCAAAGGACGAGCGGCTTCCGAAAAGTCGGGGCGGGGGGGACCGCGAGTTGTTTCGCCGTTGTTTACGAATCGACCGCGACGAGGGAGGAGCGTTCCGTTTTCGTTATCGACGTTCCCACGAATCCGTCGATCGTCTTCCCGCTGGACCTCGATCGAACTCGACGTCCGGTTGGCGGTTTCCGGGGAGTCAATTTTTCAAAGAGGAGGTCGCGTCGCGAGGGCCGGGACTTTTCTTTCCTTTTTAACCCTTTGCCCTCCTAAGGCCAGATCTTGGAGTTGACTACCCGCGTATGGCCAAATTATTTGGAGGGCAAAGGCTCGTATATTCGTGTTCGAGGGTAGACGCGTCAAGTGGCAGGATTTTTGTGGGAAACGTTTCCGCCTCGGCCTTGCAACGCACGAGGTCACGTGGACGTGGTGCGTGTACCTGGTTTCGATACGACGCGTTATCGCCGGGTAGATTGGAGGCGATTGCTCGTTACGTCGAGAGGGCGGTTCGCGAATGGACGACGACTATTGGAAAACCCGAAGAGACGGGATCAGAAAATTTCGAATTAAAATGGCAGCCGGTCGTCGGCGGTCGGGGCAATACAAGATGCGAGAGTCCCTTCCCTGAAACGAGTCCGAACTCGTCGATAAAGATTGGTCGGAGCGTGCCAAAGTTAGTCGTTCCTTCTGCCCTACTTCCCGCGGGCCTTTTAGACGTATTTTAAACGTTTCGAGACTTTCCGGGCTGCGTTTTGTCGTCCGGATTGGCCGGGACTCGTCCGTCTCTCGCTCGAACGACCGTAATCGATACGAGCGTAATTTTCCCCGAGGCCGTTACGATTCGAATATCTTCGAAGGAAGGAATTTAGGGAGCGAAGTTAACGAGGAAATTATCGTTCTAAAAGTTTGTCACGTCCGGATGGGTTATTCGTCGAATCGACGTCGGGGACGGCGAGAGCTCGAAACTCTGGAGTTTCTGGATTCGCGTCCCCGCGTCTCCCAGAATCCGCGAGCGAATCGATCGTCGACGACATCGCCTTTCGTGTAACCGCTCGGGAGACCCGGAATATCCCGGAAGAGAATGCACCGTTTGCACATCGGGTTGAAATTAATTTTGGCCACTCCGCTGCCCCCCACTCCGGGGAGGAAGCCCGTATTTCGATATGGCGCGGGACTCGCGACGAATGCGGCGCTTCGAACCGTTTATATCTTTTTTTTTTATAGCCCTTGCTCTAAAATAAATCCCACGTTTCCGTTTTTTTCTTCCAGGTCTGCGTCGGGAAGCTGAAGGATGATCCAAACGTGAGTATAATTTGTCTTATTTCATCGGTTCCGCGGATGACGCGAATTCGTTCGTTTCGAAGGCGCCATTGAAATCGTCCACTATTGGCGCATCGACGTCCGTTGCGAAAACAAGTAGCGTCGACGTGCGCTCGCGGAACGATGGAAATCACGGCGATGGAAGCGGAACGCTTACCGGAGTTTCCCCCGGGAAACTTCCGACCGGCAACTTTTCTACACGGTGGTTAAACGCGTCGTCGTCCTCGAGAAGTTCAGCGTTGTCCTTCGAAGGCACTCGAAATGATCGAACGAACCGTTATTAGCGTTATTATTTTTTCTCTTCGCGATCTCTTTTCCCCCGCACCTCTCGCCACTCCCGAATCGGCTCTAACTTTTGGTACTTCGATTTTTTTTTCAGAACGTGGACATTCTGGGACGGATTCAGGAGATCCAGCTTCACATCGTTTCCCTGGGGAGATGCCAAGTACGTCACGACTGTTCGTATATATACAATTTCTATTTCTTTTCGTTACTTTCCGTTACATCCCCCGACTCGAAGTCTCCATCTCGATCGATCGTCCTCGGTTCGACTTCTGCCCCTTTGTAAAGGGGTAGAAGGGGAACTGGACACCCCGAGCTTGGCGTCTGCCTTCCTCGAAGTGCCCCGGTTGTTCCAACTTTCTGTTCAAAAATGGCTAGAAACGTTAAATGGGCAATAACCGACGGAAATGATCTCGGCGAGGTCAGTGGAACGACGCGGAGCGGGCCTGGACGCAACCTGGAAATTTCATCGACGATCTTTATCCGGTTACGTGGCATTATGAAATGCCGGGAGAAATTGCCTTTGCCGCGGGGTAAAGGCGAGCTTCGGGTCGATTTTCATCCCCCCAACCTCGTCGCCCCGGTTCCCGAAGACCTACGCTAATCTATTACGATATCGGCATCGGTCCACTTACGCGGATGCCGACAGGGCACGGATCGTTTGCGATTCTCGATAGTCTCGATTACCGTCGCCAAACGTCATTTTACCGAGTGTTTCGCGATCGTGAAAACCGTGAAAGAGGCGACGAAAAACGACCGGTTCCCTGGTTAACGGCTGGACGGAGGATAAAGGGCACATTTCGGGGGGGAGTAATTATCGCCTTACGCGTAACGCATAAACTGCTACGTCCGCTGCGGACTGATAACGGAATACTTTTTGGTTCCCCCCGAGTTTACGTTTAACGTGGCGCAATTGGAGTCGCTTGTTTCGGTGAAATCAACGCGGTTAAAATAGCATTAAATTTGTGGTAATTAAGCATTCAGCCCCGTTAGGGCTCGAACGAAATTTGCGTATGGCGCGGTATTTGCGCTTTCGCAAATCGCTTTTGAACCGGCGATGGGAGAACCGAGGGTCCCTTTATTGCCGCGGAAGGTAATCATTTCCGCTCGTTTCCTTAACGATTCTTTAAACTTTTATTCTTCCCTAAGAAAATCTCGTCGCGGCGGTAAGATGTGGCAGGCACGACTCGTTCGCGTTTCGGCTCTTCCGGAGTCTGCCCGTTTCGGAAACGGACGCTGCGCGCCCACGTTTACGTCGTCGTTGCGGCGAGATGGTTCCCCTCTCGTTATCCTCTTGTAGACGTATAAAGCGATCGCGATGCAGGCGTCGGGACGAATTGATTTTTCGCCGCTCCCCGAGAACGGGGCCAAGGAAATGCGAGAGAGGAACGGAGGAGAAGGAAAAAGTTGACCGAGTCGAAAGTTACGAACCGGAGGAAACACCTTCGACAAGGTCGCCCTGCCGTTTTCGCAGCGGTGCTCAGTCGGTGGTGCGCGCCGGGAGTTCGGCGCTCCGCCACCAGGGAGTGCCACCGGGGCGCCCGCACTTCGCGCCTCTCGAGTGGGCGGACGAGCGCGACGGGCAGGTGTCGCTCGACTCGCTCGGATGGGATTTCAAATTTCTATCGATAGGGATTCGAGACTTTTACGTAATCGTCCGCGCGTACGCCTCGTTTTTTTTCCCTTAGGTCGCGTCAATCGTGCCGCGCAACGATGCTCGATTAATCGGGTCGAGCATTTGATCGATATCCGGAGCCTCGCGCTCCTATCGATCTCGAATCGGGGCGATTCGGCGCGCGCAATGCGTTTTCATGGAAACGAGGGTAAAGTCGGGAACGTTGAGCGCGAAAAGTTTCGTCCTCTCCGGATAGGTCCGGAACATCGGGGAGAAGTTTTAATTTGCCGACTTCCGCTCGAATTCACGCCGGCGAAGTTTAAAATCGAGAGTACCGCTCGAACTCCTCAAGGTTAGTCGCGCCACCGACGTCGTCCGGTTGAAAATTGACCGTCGCGATTTGTCGTAAATAGCGGAGGAAGGAGACGTCGAGTCGCGACGAAAATACCGGCCGCCCGAGCCCTCGAGTCGCCGCCCTGGGAAAGCCGTTATTTTCTTAACGGCCTAATAAATCGGCAATAAATGATTTTCCATCCCCTTTACGAGTTTACCCGAGGTACGAAGTTTCGGCGTCGATGATTGCGTCGATAAGAGGGGGCACGTCCTAACGGTTATATCACTTTGACGACATAGGTTACGTGGCGAACGTACCCACGCGAAACTCGGAAATGGATGTAGAATAATTTTGGGCCCGACTCGCTCGGCTCGATCGCGCGGACAGGAGCGAAGCCAAGATGAGGACAATCGGAAGAAACGAAGCCTCGATGCCAACGACTGGGTCGATATCGGTCTTAGCCGTGGCAAGGGTTGAACGCGGACGGTCTCTACCTCGGCTTCGATTCGCCTCGTCGCGTTTGCGGGCGTTAATGGAGGGACAGAGGGTAACGTTTATTCGGGAACGCTTTTCTACCCGCGCGAAGCGGTAAATCCTTCCACGGGGGAGGGAAACATTTCCTTCCAAGAGGTCCTCTTGCATCCCTCGCCCTTCGCATAAGAGTAAACTCGTCGACCGTCGTTAATTCGATCATTTTCCCTGTTCCCCCTAAAGAAAGGATTTACTCGAATTTCAGACTTTTCCGTCTCGCGAGGAACGCCCGACGATCCGCGTCGATAACCGAAGCGTCTCGACGAGGGCCAACTCGTCTCTCGTTCGCCCGCCCGGGTTCCTCGCGCTCCGAGAGAGCGGGAGCGACGGAAAGGGCCAACGAGCGCGCGCCTTTGGCCTCGGCCGGCCAATCGCGGCGAGGCGGTTCTTATTGATCTTCGGGGCTCTCCGTTGAGTCCAACCTCGACGCGGCGAAGGGGCCGCTCGGGTCCGAACCGCGACCGATTCGAAAGACCCGCCGCGCGACCTGCGCGCGCATCCCTTGCGGCGGTCCAAGGAGAAAAATCCATCTTCTTTCCCTTTCCCCGCCTGACGTCGCGAAAGGATCCGGGAAGGGCCGAGGAAAAAATCAAATCGAATTTAATTAGCGCAGGGAATTGGTCACTGGTAATCGGGGCGTCCGAGGGATGCGGGGAATTTCTGTCAACGGTCCCACCCCTGGGTCGGAAAGACGCGACTTTCGTTTCGAATGGGACGAATCCCTCCGATCGGTCGAGTTCCTCGTAACGATCCACGCGCCGTTAATGAAACTACGTTTGGAACCGCGCAACGTCTATCGGACGGTTTCGGTTCCGGGGAACTGGGGGCACGAGGCGAATAAGGCCGTCCAATTATTCCGAGAAGGGTGGAATTTCCCGCCAGCCCGCGGCTCGTAACGGGCCAGCAACTGCCGGATGAAACCGCGCGCGGAGTTTCCAGCCGGGTCCGGGGAATTCTCCCTTTCGACTTCGTCCTTTCCGCGCCTCTCGGACGAACTTCGAGGCGCTACCTGCTGCCATCTCGCGCTCAGACGGCCGACGTCGAACCTAATGGCGGAATCGAGGATGGATACTCCAGGGACGTCTTCCCGAAAGTGGACCGACGGTCGGAAGTCGCGTCCCGAGTCGATGACGCGAAACGATTCCACTCTCGTCCTTTGGTTGCGCGAACTTTGCGAGGGGAACGGGCCTGCTCGAATGTCGGCGAGGACGCGTCTATGGACGCCGCGATCGTGGCGGCCATTCGTTTCGTTCGGTTCGACGAGCCCGTTGCCGCGATACAGGGTTTTCGAAAGTGCGTATCCACCTCTTTCGCGAATCCCGCGAGTCCGCCTTCGCTCCCCTCCCCGGGCAGCCCCGCGATTTAATTGCCCCGGGCACAATGGGATTTTCGAAATTGCTCGGCGGTTTGACCGCAGTTCCGGCAATTTCGTCAATTAGCATTCGCTTATCGCTCCGGAACGAGCGTTCGAAAGTCCCCGAATTGACGTAAATCCAGCCTAGGCTTCGAAACCCGGTAACGGGATTCCCGGGTCCGAAATGGAAATTTCCCTTGATTTTGACCGTGGCCCTGGGGCTTGCGGCCCTTTTGTGACGGGATTTACCGGCGGACCGTCGGGGAGTTCGGTCGCGGCGGTAGAAGCCAAGTTTTCCCCACCCCCGAATTTCTCTTTTCCTCTTCTCTCTCTCTCTCGATGTAACGATTAAAATGCAAGCGGTCCCTGGAAAGGCCGGAGCCGAAAGTTGGCGAGCGTGGTTCCTTCGGGCCGCAACCGGCGGCGTCGAACGAGAACGGGGAGAGATAGGGCGGGAGCGACGGCGACCGGGAGGAGGGCGGGCGAGAAAAAGAGAAGTCGCAGCCCGGGTACCCAAGAGTGGGGCCTCAATCAATAAAATATCTCCCTCGGAACGTTTTCCGCGCTTGAAATAAAAATTGCCGTTTCCTCCTGGTCGGCGCGGCCACGATAAGTTGCGGATTCTCCCCGGATTCTCCCCGGATTCTCCCCGGATTCGGCCGGCCGGTCGAGCGCGCGATCTACCGGAAAGTTTCCACCCGGAGGAACGGAAGTTTCCCAAACTCGGCCGCCCCGGATCCTTCTCGAAATCCGGATTTCCTCGTTGGACGGGAAACCGGTCAAACGAGCCGGGAAAGTACTTAAGCGGCGGCCCCTTCCGACGTTGCCAAAGCGAGGGGAGCCTTGGGGGTCGCCGATACGCGTACGGCAATCTTTTCCCCGAATAACGACCGATACTCTTGTAACCGAGGAGGAAACCAAGTTTCCCCGGATTCATCTCCTCTCTTTTAACTCCCGAACTCCCGCTTTCCGTCACCGTCCCAAGGGCATCGAAAGGCGATCGATCGACGCGTCGGCGGCGCGCTGCAAACCGAGAGCTCGTGGATTAAATTTGCGAAACGCCGCCATCTTGGAAATCGAAGTCTTCCGGGTAGACGCTCCCCTGACGGGGTCCGCGTCGTTAAACCTGATAACGATGAAATTCTTCCCGGGGGGAAATCGATCCATCGGGATCGCGATCGATGGATCGAGGATCGAACGCGGAACGCTCGACGAGTCGCCATCGGACGGATTCCTCGAGATGGCGACCGTGAAGTATCTCGGCGGTTCCGGAGCGCCGCGGAAAGTTTCTCTCGAGATATTCCTGGCAGGGATTGGCGACTAAGTGGCAAAGTTAACTTTGCCGGTGTCGTTCTCGCGCAGAAGCAGGTGGTGCAGCGGCTGCGCGGAGAGGTCGAGTCGTTCAAGGCGGAAAACGCGAACGGGGCCAAAGTTTCCATCGCCTCGCTCCTGGGACTGAACAACAATAACCACATTACGAACGACAACGAGGCCGGCGCCGACGTGGTCGAGGTCAAGGATGTCAACGGCTTCGAGAGGCGGTCTTCCAAGGACGATTACGAGGACGAGGCTCTCAGGAACGGCGACGAGGGGCGAACCAAGTACGAGCGGCTCGATTCTACCGCGTCTACCTCGAATTAACGCTTCTCGGTGGTAATAACGTCCTCTCGATTCTTCTTCCCCAGGTCCAATTTTCGCAGCGACCGATCCTACTCGGTGGAGACCGTCTCGTGCGAGGACGACGTCATCGAGGTCTCCATGGACGAGAACTCCAGCGAGAAACGGGAGGACGACGTCGAGGAGGACAAGCCGGGCTCGTACGAGCAACTCACCTTTCTGGGGATGCTGGGCCTCGTCACCACGGCCAGGCACAACGAGCTGCAGAGCAAACGAGCCGAGAGGAAGCGCAGGAGCACCGCCAATCCGCAATTCGTGTACTCCACCTGGGAGATACCGACGGTAATTAAGAAACTCCGCAGAGTTTCGCCTTCGATGCGATCCTCATATGCGTAGGCGTCGAACTGGATGGAGAATTTCGTTTTGCTTTCAGAAGCGGAAGAAGTACTCGTACATGCAGTCCGCCGGAAACGCTCCTCAGACCCGGCAAACGACCGCTCGTCTGAACGGGCCGTCTCCACCTCCCGGCAAGGTCTCGCTCTCGAAGTCGGTCTCACCGCCCACCAGGAACCTCGCCAAGTCCTTGATTCCAAACCAGAAGTCGGGCACGAGACCGAACATCTTGCGTAGCGTGGCCGAGAGCAAGTTGTTCGTCGGCAAGAACAAGAGGGAGAACGGCCTCGGTCAGGCTCGCGTCTCCGCGTCGAGGCCCGTGCAATCGGTCGGGGGTAAGACCGTCCACATCCCGGGATTGCCGTCCAGCCTCACGATCGAGAGGATCGAGGGCGAAACGACCGTTTGCATAAGCTGCAGGAATCCTGGTGAGTTGGCCGGCACTGGTGATGTTCACAATTTTTTTTTTTTTTTTAATTTCAGTGACTCGCGAATTAAAAGGGATAGAAAAAAAGGAGGAGTAGTCTCTTGGCCACGGTCTCGCGGAGTCGTGCCAGAAATTAAAGCACTTTTTGTTCGTTCACAGGAACGTTGACGGTGTGCGAGAACTGTTCGGCTAATTACCACGTATCCTGTCACACGACGTCGCCTGCCCCGCCGAGGACGTGTCCTAAGTGCTCGCTGGGAAAAAGCCGGGACGACTGCATGATAATCGAGACGTATTCTAAGAAGGACGAAGAACTTGGTAATCCATCTTTATCATCGGCGAGGATTCTATCCACCTTGTTATTGATCGCGTGATTGACAAAAAGTTCTTGTTTCCTGCAGTTCTTTGTTTTATGCGCACTCGGTTTATAGCGGGTAGACTTTGGAACTTGCAGGGTTACCATGAACAAGGAATGCCACGTTTAGGGTAAAAGCGAGATAATCCCGCGGAAAGGGAAAGGGATCGAGGATAGTCGGCTGCGTATTTGCTGGAATTGGTTACGATCACTTTCCGGACGGAGCAAGGGTGCTTTTCGGATTACATCGAAAGGGTTACTTACTTCATAATTTTGCAATTAGACGGTTAAGACTCGTTGATTCAAATAGCATACGTTCTACCTGCTAAGCGTCACGATACTTGGATTTCATATCGAGAGGCTATTTTTGTCGTGGTTATTATCGTCTTACCGTATACTGGGCTTGTTTCAAATTCTCTGGTGCTAGCTGTAAAAAAAAAAAAGAGTTCCGGACTTACGTGGGTATGGAAAATGAAAGACTGTCAGAGTTCGAAGATGCGCGTGCTTGTATTAAATCGAGCGGTATTCCCAAAACTGCATCTCTCGCATTTCCGAGTAGGGATGGAATCGCGTCGCATCGAATTTGCATCGAAGAAGAACTTTTTGATCGATCGACTCGCTCCGTTCTACGTACTGAACGCTCAATCGTCTTGCAGAGGAGAAAGAGAGAGAAAGATATGAGCTGCGCGAGCGAAACTCGGATCTGAGATTGCAGGTTTACGAGTTGGAAAAGCGTTCCCAACTACTCGGCCAATCACTTCAGGTTCGTCCTGCGGTCTGCGTAGAAAGAGCCCACGTGTTGTTTTCATTTGGAATGCCCTTTTCTTAAGTGGCGTTGTACCGTTCGTGCGTACAATCGTGCCGGATGATGGTTTCACTTTCAAAATTCGGTGGGGTAGAGGCCGTAGAATTGTCCATCCGAGCGGAACTCCTGAAAGCATAGACACCATTAAATCTCCCGCGGTAGTTAAATTCACGGCGATTTGTGCAGGAATGATACGAAGTACGTGTTCAAAAATCATAGTCGAGATACTTTCATTTTTTAAGGTAGTCCTTCGATGAATATTCTACTACATTGTACATATTTTATATGTTAACAAACTGTCAGGAGCTCACTCGCGATGAACGATGTCGTCGCTTCTTCGGTAGCGAATTTCCAATACGAAACCATTTTCTGTCGGCATGTGTCTTTTGTTCGTTTTTCAAATATTACGGGAAGCTGCGTTTTTCGTTCACTCGATGCGTTGTAAGTTTCGTTGGCATTGAATCTTTGATGATACGTCGACAGGATTTTATGTTAAGACGTTCCTTCGTTTGTCGTTGGCGCTTGTTAGCGAGTCTTGCAGTAGTTATTTCCGTAGTTATTTTAATATGCAACGGCGATGGCGCTGCCATACACGCGGCATTGTCGTTATTTCGTTTTGCCTCGACTCTCGACTTGGTGGCGAGAAAGCTTCAGAGTTTTACCACCGCATCCAGATCCACTTTACATTAAATCAATGTTACCGACACGACAATCGCTATGAGGTTCCATATGACTGTAGCATTCCGTTAGTAGTAGTAAAGTTTTACGTTATGGATACGTCATTTTCCATACGCTGCAAATGATCGACGAGTATTAGTTTTTTCCCCAATGTGAGTAATAGACGAGCTATTAAAAATCCGACGTTGAAATGTATAAATCATGTTGAGGTGTTTTTGACTTCGGTCCATTGTTAAAATAAACTTCCAGTCCGTTGAGTGTGCTGTATTTAACGATGTTGAAAGTTAACGTTTAAAGTTAATCGGCACTGGTTACCAAATCCGGTCGACGTTCTTTTCATTACCGAATTACTGTAGAGTTGAACGTAGTTAATTTTATTTTTATTTTCTCGCGCAGCAAACTATTCAGAGATTTGTTTTGCTAAATTCCCAATTTCATGTTCATCGTGAACTTTTTTGGGGCATATTAAATTTACTTTACCGTCAGTTGGATCTTTCTAATTTTTTTTTTTTTTAGAGGACTTCAGGCAATTGGGAAACGGTTGACCACGCGATAAATATAAAATGTATGTAATCTTCTGGTCGTCGGCATAGAGAACTGTCTTCTTTTATTACTCGAGCAATTGGACCTTTATTATTCTCCTTTAATTTGTGCACAAAGAGCATGCCCAATGTATGGTGAACGTAAAATATGATAATGCCTTTCGCCATTGTATCTGCGGTTGATGACATACCGTTACTTTGTTTTTGACAAAATCGAGATTAAAGGCTACTTTTCAGTTCAAGAAGGGACACTGCTTACATGCCGAAGAGCGCCAGTCCCGCAGGTAAACATTTACTAGTTAGATGGACGCGGGCATAGTAACCCAACTGTTACATTTCCCGTACGTTTTAATGAAAAACGTCTAGATTTTTAACATTTGATATATTTTTTCAACGCGCGTATCTCGATATTTGAATCTTCACGTTTCCTCCAACACCTGGAACAATCTAGCCTGCCTCAATCAGTTGTGTTGTTATGCCCAGTAGAAACATAATTCTATCGGCTTTAAAACGCAAGGAAATTTTTCTGCCCCGTTTCGAAACATTAACGATGCCCGGACGAAAATTCCTGTGCCATATTTTTAAAATCCTTTAAGATTAGAATTTTGGAACAACACTTATGGCGATTCCGCGAATATCTTGCAAGTCTTGCCTCGTTCCCGTCTCAGCTTTTGCGGGTCTCAAGAAGTTCTCGGAGATCCCTCGAGACGCGCGAAGATCTTTCAAGGATACGATTCGGGAATGTTTCTCAAAGGCAAGAACCAGTGCCGTAGCAGTCGAACGGTACGGCATCTTTTGCGATAAAAAAGGGCCCCGTAGGAAGATTCGAGCGTCGAGATAGGAATAATGCCGTTATGTCAGTCAACCGCAGATAGGATTCCTCTTCCCGGTGACTAATCGTGACGTTTTTGGTTAAAATCGCAGCTACAGCAGCGCACGCGTCAGGAACTCTTGGGAAAGCAGGAGAAGACCCAGAGGTCCATAAAGCGGCTCGTGGATTTCATAAGGTCGATGCAACTCAGAAACGAAAGCTCCTCTCCTCCGCCCTCGGCATCAACCAGCTGCCCTCCTCCACCTTCCTCATCCCGATCTCCCCCAACGCCATCGCGGGAATCTCCCAGCAAGAAGCAGCAGCAGCAGCAGCAACAACGACGGACCTTTCTTCGGCAGCCGACCCCGAGCAGCACCAGCCAGAGAGCGGCCATTCCTATTCTTCCATCCTCGTCAATAGGCTGTCCCAGCAGCCGAGCGTCGCCTACGTCCAGCCGGAGCCCCAAGTGTCCTACACCTACCAGCTGCCCATCGCCGGCGTCCAGTCGGAGAAGCACCAGTCTTACCTCATCGTCAAGAAGATCTCAGAGCCAGGCCCGGTCGGAAGAGCCGGTCGTTCTCGGTTCGCCTCGGCCGGGAGCGCCGGCTTCAAGGCCGAAGCCCGGAATCTGTCCCTCTTCGACTACCAGCTCTCGAGCTCGACCGGTCATAATGCTGGCGGCCAGTCGGAAGGAGCGCTCGCCCACTCGACCGTATACGTCGACAAGTTCCCCAGGAGGTTCTCCGACGCGATCGGCCGGAAGAAGCCGAATCCCCGGGCCGTGCCCGCTCTCAATCGACTCGTTCACCAGGAGAAGCCCCTGCCAGTCTCCCCCGCGGACCACCTTCTGGAGTCCCCGGCGCTCCTCGTCGAGCGACGACCCAAGGCCGGAGCGGCGCGCTCGAAACTGGACACCCACAAGCTGCGAGCCTCCCGAAGGCCGGAGCTGCTCCTCTCCTACAACGCCTTCGTCGGCGCCGGCTCGAGCGATCACCTGGAGGCTGCAGGCCGACTCGAGTCCGAGGAGACCGGCCCCGAGTCGAGGGGTCGACCCAGAGGCGGCGGCCTACTCCACTCTCTGTTCGCAAGCTATAACCCGGCCGATTCCCTCGCCGATCGTCCTGACGAGCCAGCGGGCTCCTCCGTCCCCGAGCTGCCTCGAGACGGCCCTGTCCCCCCGGACCTCGGCGAACACGTGAAACTGGAAGAAGCGCATCTACCAGCGCCACCTGGAGCAGAGCTAGTACGCGAGAGCAAGGTCGAGGCCAGCTCGACCGCGGGAGACGCCCCCAGGGGTGGTTCGTCGTCCTCGCCTCACGGAGGGCCCGAAACTCGGAATTCGGCGCCGCATTCCAAAGTCAGGAAGCGCAAGGACAGTATGGACACCCTCGTGGAGCGCGCGGGGGACATCGAGTTCATCGAGGAGTTTTCGAATTCCCGGCTGAACCCCGGGGTCATTACCTACGAGCGCAAGCACACCGTCGCCAAGCTGATAGGAGCGGTGCGCTGCCTGAAGGAGTCCGCTCGGCGGCTCATCGCGGAACCAGCGACTCCGCCGACCGCCGACTCCCGCGGCGATTTCCTCGACGAGCCGGTGGACGCCGACGTTGCCCCACCGGCTTCGGGCGGTCGTCGCGGGAGCTCCGCCGACGAGACGGACTCGGGCGGCAGCTTGGCCGGCGACCCCTCGGCCGAGCTTCGCGACTCCACCACCGAAGAGTCCTCGGACGGCGCTCCCGGGGAGGAGGACCGCGACGAGTCCGACCGAGGTGGTCCGACCGAGAGACAAGACTTAGGCAGGGGCGCGTCGGGACGGGGCTCCTGCGACGGCAACGGCGATGGCGATCGAGTCCCTCGGGAGGAGGGAAGCGCCTTGGGCATGGGCGCCGTCTCGAGGGAGAACCTGCAGGTGCTCGAGGAGTTCGAGTCCGCCATGCTGGAAACCGACGAAGGCCCTACTGCCAACTCTTAAGTTTTAGTTTTATCGGTAGTCCCGCAACGATCCGCAGGATTTCTCTAAGTTATACCCTTACGCTTTAAGTTCTCGCGGTTGGCCGATCAGAGCGGCCGCCTACTCTTAAGATATCGTTTACTTGTTGTCGAATTACGATCGAACCGCGACCGAGCGTTTCGTTTGGAGTTGGTCTCGTACCCAATGATGCCAAGTAATCGAGTGGACTGCGTCATGTGCCGTTTTCTTTTGAGAATTAAGACATCGTGCCTGTTAACGGAGACCTCGTTTCTCTATTTAAGACGTAGATTTGATTTTCGGGGTTTTACCCGGCAAATGGTATTTTTGTTAAAACGATCGATTGATACATATCGAACGGGTCTCGTGGTTGGCGCGACCAATGGCCCTCTCCTAATGTGTATTGATACTTCTTTGAGATGCGAGTATTTATGTCGGAACTAGGCACGAATTCTAGAGGCGCAATTTTCTTTAGAGTTAAATAACTCCTTTGCGTAACGTTCGCTTTCTCGAGATGATCGCGTCATCGAAAACGTGCGGGCATAACGCGATCCAGACGGAAGTGCTCGACTTATCACTTGGCATCGTTCGATGGCAACGAGGTCTTGGAAATCGAAATTGACATCACGGTCTAACTGCCTTGTAAAAAGTACCGCCGTGAAATTGTCGGCATTACCGCGCGTTGCCAAACGACGCGTACCTTGTACGACTAGTTTGACGCGACTTGGGACGGTTGTAGGTAAAGCAGGTACCTACCGACTTTGGGCGATCGATACGAAGTTCTCCGGCGCTTCTCCGCGTTCCTTGAACCACCCCTTAGACCCCATCTCCGATTGTAATATTCGTTAACTGGGATAATACCGATCGACGGTTTCGGCCAGAAAACGTTCCGTGGCGTTTCCAAAATCGTGCAAACGTAAATTAGGGGTACTAAGGTTCGTTCAAAATCGACGGACGGTTCAATGCTCGGGACAAGAGAAAGTGGGAAGAAAAGCATCATGGAGGTTAGTTGGGAATTTGTCGAACGGGTAAGAGGGTCGTAGGTCACGTCCCGCGATAGCGTTGGAAAGGGTCGACGTTAAGGATGGCCGTGCACCCGTGCTATGTATTCTCAACGCGAAAATGTCTATCTTTTCGTTACCATGCCTGTATTAACCTTTCTTCCGTCGCTTTATTTATTTCCTACGATGTTTCCGGCAATGCCCATGCCGGTTTCTTACGGAGGGTGACGGTGGAAACAACAATCGAACGTTAGAGATTATGTTCGAGATTATGCGAGCGTTGGATCATGAAAGAGGGGCATCGCGAATCGAGTTCCTTGGGCGAAAGGACGCGCTATCTTCACTGTAATTAGGGACCTTGTACGGATTTATAGTTGACAAGCATATAAACGCAACGCGCGGAATGGAACGTTCCTAAGTAATGACCTTTATGGTATCTTTTGCGATGAATTGTAATTTTGACCGGAATTCTCGATGTCACGGGACGTGGAACGCGTTGCATGGATTTTGGTTTCTCAAGTTTTTTCTTAAATCGCTCAAATCTACCTCGACGACTGTCATCGTCTGTAGTTTCACCGAAGATTTAATTCAAGTGCAATGGTATACCGAGGATCCCGAGGAAACGTATTCCCGACCTTGAGGATAATCTCGGGCAAAAGGAACGGATTAAGTAACGCGAAGTATATGGCCACGATCATAGAGTACGAATATTTGTTTAATAGTTAAAAAAAAATAGCTCCAGCTTTGGGTAGACGTGCAATATGTACAGACGTTTCAGTTGCAACGAGGATTGAAAATTAAACCTATTGGCACCTACATATTCGGTGGCGAGAATTTTCGAACGTTACTCGGGTGAAGCTCCGACGATGACGAACGCCCCTACGCGTTTAAAGAAATTTTCAAACGATTCCCGGAACGACGTTTCCTCGAGTCCACCTGGAAAATTACATTTCGTCGAGAAGGTTATTACAAAGGTCTGGAAAATGTCTCCGGCAGAGTTCACATTGGACGCGGTCTTTTAAGTGGGAACTCGTGCATCGCCGAAGATGAAAAGAAAAGTCATTGTTTTCGTTACAACGCGCTCAGCACGGAACTTGAAATCTCGTTTGCAGATCAAGAAGTCCACCTAAAGGAAAACTCGAGACTTGCCCGCTTCGTTTCCCCGTTTGAGGTCATACGGCACCTTCTTCCGCCGTGCTCGTAACCGTATACGGATATCTCGTTCTAGGAACGGAATCGTTTTCGGACGACACGTCGGCTGTCCGAGACGCGAGTTCGTCGTAAGGTCAAAGAGTGGCGGGTCATTAGAGGCGGTGCCGAGAGCTTTCTACGAGAATTACGCGGCAATATGTAGACGACTGGAGTAACTCCAAACACGTACATATCTTGCTGAGACGGATGCAAACGTCGGAGAAGACGGAGAAATCGCGGTCGATCGCTCGTTCCTTTGGTATCGTCCAACCGTGCGCGTAAAAATCGCTCGATTTTCAATCTAAAACCGGCTAAAGAGAATTTAAGAAGATACCGAAAGTAACGGGCGATCGAGGGAGAAGGGCATCGATTACGAAAGCGGTCGCAGCTCCCCGTCTTTGATCGAAGCCTAACTTTACGTAAACCAAGCCAAATCGCCGCACTGCCTTAATAGTCATTTAACGAATAATAGGTATCCTTAGTACCGTCGTATTACCGTGGGATCTACTTAAACGCCAGACTCGGGAGGCGCGAACACGCGAAGCGCGACGGACGGCGAGCGGTCGGAATCGGCCAAGGCATAAGCCTGGAAGAAAACTATTGTAAATAAGCGAATGACTTCTCTCGCGGGGCTCCTAACGCCCCGTCGTTCGTTTCTTTTTTTTCGTTAACGCCCGACCCACTCGACCTGGCGACGATTCGAAAGCTCCCTTTCGTCGAGACGTCGTCTCCCTTTCTTCGTCCGGTTGACATCCATTGTCCGATTTTTTGTCCCCTCTTCGTTTCCAGTTTCCTTTTTGCGGCGACCACTGCGTACCCGGATACGGTCAGTCGATGCAATGACGCGACAACGCCGAGAGAAATTAAGCGAGAATTGTTATTCAGTGTAGTCGATGAGATTCAGATCGGAATTCATATTTTTATGAATAAAGCAATTTAAATCGAACGGCCGTTGGGTTGCGTGAATTTTCGAGGAAATTTCCGGGGAAATTCCCGGCCACGAGACGTCCGCTTAACGGCCGCGAAGGCTGCCGAGTTTCGCCGTACCGAAATTCGTTGGCAGTCCGCGCCACGACTCTTTTCGAGCGACACCGTCGGTCGACGATTAAAGGAAACGGAAACGTTAATTTAAAAATATCCGCACGGCACTAATTGGAAATCGTATAAAATGACCTCTCGGCTCCTTCTAATTAAATGCGAAACGCGAAACGCGAAACTATTCGGACGGCCCTGCCCCCTCGCATTAATTGGGTAAAGCGAAACGACAGAGCCATCCGCGATATAACACGGTAGTAACCCAACCGGAGGACTTTCCGACGACGTTATTACCGGCAGTTCGAAGTATCGATTAAGGTCTACATCGTCGAGTCCACCTTCGTCGGGTGAGTACCTACGCAGACAACGCCGACGGACGGCTCAATATTTGAACGAGCCCGCTCAAACCCTCGTTACGGTTTTTACCATTCTCCTAATTGGAATCAATTAGCTCTCTCTCGGCATTTGCATTTTGCGCCGATTTCCTTCCGCCTCCTTTGCCGGGCCGCGCGCGTCTCTCGGAGGGGAATCCGGGGTTAAAGTCCTGCAAGAGATTCGCCAAATCGGCCTCGTCTTCCTCGCGTCTTTCGACGACGTCGACAACGAGAAGGGAACGGCCACCGGACTCCCCCCGAGTCTTCGATCGATCGCGCCTCGTTATCGAGTGACTCGAATACCCATGGAATTCTCAAATTTCCCAATTGTTTTTAATGGTCCGCGTTTCGAGCGGCCGCGAGTTCCCGGTATAGCGACTTTGGCGGGACAACGAAGATGAATACTTTTTAATGACGAACACTTTCCACGGGCAACCGCGTGCGTTTGTCCGCTCTATTAAAACTTGGCGGTGCGGCATCGGTCGGGAACTTTTAACGATCGTTTCTTCCGTCGCGAGTGCGTGGCTCGCTCGGGTTACTCGCGGAATTCGCCTCGTGATTTATCCCGAAACCGGACCGAGCGGCGTAATCGTAGCCTAACGTCCCGATGCTAATGGCGCCATTAATCAGCCGCTAACGAATGTCGCTCGATGGGTCGAATCTCCGCGGCGCGCTAGAAATCCGCCGGCGGAACGCATCGTCCTCGCGGCCGCGCGGCCGCGCGATACCGTATACGGCGCCCGCGTATTTGGCGCGCGAGTCGCGGATCGCAAAGTCCGAGTCCCGAGCAATTACTCGCGGATAAGTAAACACGGGCATTAATTGGAGGCGTCGAGTCGCGTCGGAGCGCCCGGCGGCCCGCGATTACCTCTCGTAATTGGATCCTCCGTGGGGCGGGCGCGGACGCGACCGCGGCGAGTCGCGGCCGGTCGCGGCCAGTCGCGGCGAGTCGCGGTCGCGCTCGAAGGAACGAGGCAATTCCGGTTCGGACAAACAATCGGCTAATGATATGCAAATATGGCGGAGCTAATCAAGCGGCTGTGCCAACACGAGGAGACGAGCGGCATCGCGCGCGAGTTCGATCCCCGATGCGTTTATGCCGCGCGGATCGCTCAGCCCCTTCGCGTACGTATTTAACGGTTGCGCGTTAATTGCACGCCCGGGTACGGCTCCAAACGCGGCAAGTTCCGTCGGAAACGACGAGCGATTCCTGGCAACTCGTCGGGAATTTCTCCAAATTTTCTCCTCGTCTCCTGCCAACCCTTCTTCGTCGAGGTTCCGTTTCGGTCGATTCGAATTTCGAGTTCTTCGCTCCGTCGGCGCTCTCCGCCGCGACGTCGGAAGCGCCCATCCAACCTAAAAGGACACTTTGGTCGCGGCGCTAACGAAAATGAGTTCCATAAAGCTTTTAACCCGCGGAATCTAAGTGGCCGCTCGGGCCCCTCCTCCGGAGCTCCGGCCAGGCGACGCCGACGCCGCCGACGCCGCCGACGCCGGCGTCGCCCGTCCGAGGAACTCTCGCCGAGGCGGCGGTAGCTCGTCGTTAAGACGCCTGACAGTTGTATAAGGATAAAGCCGCTCGCGCTGAGTGCTTTTATTTGTCGCCCGCCAGCTCGTGAGCTCGCGAGCTCGCCCGCGTGCCATTATTTCAAATCGATTCGCTTTTGTTTGTTGACTCCATTAGGGCGCCGGTCACCGCCCTCCGGCGCATTCCGGCGCATTCCGGCGCATTTCGGCGGGCACTCGACGAGAGACCGAGAAATCGGCGGAGCTTCGCGCCAAATTCGGGAGAATCTCGCGACGCTTTTCGCAGGGACTCGACACGGTCGCGCTTCAAGGGTTTTCCTGCTCGGGTTTCGTTTATTATTTTTGTCCTCCTCGGATGGCTCCTTCGAGTTCCTCGGCGTCGCTCGGGTCTCGACGGGGCGGAGGGATTCTTCCACCGCGCTGCAGGGAGATTCGACCTAATCGCCTAGGGCTGCCCGGGGAGCACTAACGCAATCTATCCCGAACTCGTGCCCAAGAGATACCCATGGGATGTTTTGCCCGGTGATCCATCGCTTAACTTTCCCGTTAGTTCGAAACAAGAGCGTTTGCAAAAGTTATGCGAAACGACGTCGGTAACTGCGCCCCCGAATTGGTCCCCGAAGGTGGCCGGCTTCCCGGCTTCCCGGCTTCCCGGCTTCCGCTCGGAGATTTTACAAGGTCCTCTTCTTCTCCGACCTCCTCCTCTCTCTCTCGCTCTCCTTTTCCCCCCGATTAACGGCGATCGCCGTCGCGCCCCGACGTCTTCGCGTCCCTCGCGGCCGAGGACGACGCAAGGACACGCGATAACGAGATCGCGACTTCGGACTCTACTCCAGTTTCCATTACCGCCCGTAATCGGCGGAACGCTGCGAGCCGTAATGCCGAATCGACTTTCGAGGATGGCCGGCGCCACGGCTTCCGCCCTCGAGTTTTTCGACATCTTTTTCTTCCCCTCCGTCTTCCGATTGGCCGTAATTGCAATTGGTTTCCGAGTCTCCTCGATGCCCTCCGCCGCCGTCTTCGCCTCGTTCCCACCCGAACCCGACGCATTTGCTCGTTCCCGAAAACGCGATTACCGAAACCATTCGCGGAACGCAAACGAGGCGCGCCGGATTATAAGAGCGAACCCGACCAAGTGACGCCGTCGAGGAGGGCCAAAGGTTCGCTTCCGACTTCCTCCGTCGAGTCGTCGACGCGCGCGTCGGCGAAGAGGCCGGAACAGGGCGAACGGAACGGCGAAGAGTCGGGTAAGCCAGGCCACGTCCGCGTAACGCGGTTACGGAACCGGAAATGTTCTTGCAGGAGCCAGGAACGCGGCCCGCCGACGGCTCCTGCCTCTTCCGCCGAGTGGGAAAAACAAATTACCGAGGACCGAACAAATATTGGCTCCCCCTTCCCCTCGGGAGATGCAGCGGATGCAAAAATATTATATTTGCGGCGCGGAAATGGCTCCGATAGATTTTCCACGGTGAAAATACCGAGCGGCGACTACGTTTGATCGGAGAGCCGCCGGAGGTTCTCGACCTCTCGGAGGTTAAGGACTTAAGCTCCGATCGGGAGTCGCGGTCGCGTCTCTTCGCTCCGATTTCTGCGTGGATCGAGCAACCGGTACCCCGGGAAAGGGTTCGGCGACAGGAATTATTAGGTAGTTTTTAACGTAAGGTAATTAAAACGGCGGCAACTCGTTCCACGATCGAATATATCGAACGCGTCGACATCGAGGGTCCGGTCGGTGCGGAGATCGGCGGTCTTGCCCCAAACGGAGGCGCCGTCGCGTTCCTCGAGCGGAGCCGCGGCCAATTAAAATCCCCTCTTGGTCGCCCCCTGGAATTGATATCGGGAAACAAAAAGTTCAATTTCAAGCGCGTCACGTAGACGCGCCCGCTGGTGTTAATTGACCGCTGCCCATTACACGCCCGATCGCCATTGGTCCCCGCGTTTTCTGGATACCCGCCGGCTTTTTGCCTCGCCTTTATTACGCGTTCTTTGGCTCGATTTGTGTCGCGCACCCGTCACGTCTCGCGAGATTCGCTCGATGGCCGCCGATCTCTCCCTTTTTCTCCACCCGCGGATCCGACTCGAGCCTAGACCGACCACGGCGAAACGCTTCCCGGCCTCGAGGAAGGAAGGGATCCTCGCGACGCCGCGGAGAACGCCAATTTCATTATTTATTAGCGGCAACGCGGAATTCGCGAGCCGGAGGACCCCGTGCGATCGCCGGAGCGTTAAATTGCGGACCGCGATTAGCTAATTACCGGGGTCACCTAAGAAGTCGAGCCAATCCGTCGTAATTAAAGCGTTTTCCTTTTTTGCCGCGGGCGGACGTCTCCGCGAGGGGAGTGACGCTTTCCAACGGGGTCCCATTGTTCCCGCGTTTACCTCGTTCCGTTCGCGTCGGCCCTTCGGAGGAACCGTCCTCGTCCGGCGTTCCAGTCCCCGCTGTCCAGGTGCAACGTTTCGGATTTTCGTTTTCGCCCCCGTTCCGGCATAACGTAATTGGAACGAAATCGTTTTCTTGCCGGCATTCGATTTCGTTCCGGGTCCATGACCGCCACCTCGACGGACTTCTTTCCGAGCGGGACCCGATGGAAACCGGAGCCGAATGTCGAAACCGATAGGTGAAATGCGCCTATCCGATTCGCCTCGACTCCCGAAGATAACCGAGAGGCTTATCGCTCGGACCTCGGCTCCTCCTTTTCTTCCCCAGCCGGACTTTGCCAAAAGTTCCAGTTCTTCTTCGAAAACGGCGCGAAGTGGCTTCCTTCCCGCTTCGGTTTTTCCAGAGGTAACTTTTTCTCGGTGCCGGGACGTAACCTTCCTCTCGCGTTCCTTCTCCGCTCGACCTTGTCGCGGCGATCGATCGATCGATCGATCGCGCAACCGTAACTAAAGCCGGCAATTACGCCGGTAACGGCACACCGCGGCGTAACGGCGGACCGGTTAGGACGAATTTCTCGATCGCCCCTCGTCGATTCTCGTTTCTATTCCGATCGAACGGTCAAACGAATTC